AGGCGGGCTGGACGTCGACGGGCTGGGTGGGCTGGTGACGCCGCCGTCCGGGCTGTCCGTCGCGGGCTCCACGCGCGTGCTGCTGCTGGAACACCCAGACCACCCGGGCCTCCTGGGCCGCCACGCCATGGCCGCGGACACCGCCCCTCGCCGACCCGGCAGGAGCCTCACGTTCGCACCGCGGCCCGACCGCGTCCACGGCCCTCAGATCCAGGACGACGTCCAAGACGTCCACGACGAGGACTGCGAGTGGGCGCACGCCCAGCGGTCGTTCGTCGTAGACGGCGGACTTCACGGACTTCCACGCGTGCAGCGGGAGGCGCCACGAGGGCGCCGAGCTCGCGGGCAAGCGCGCCGAAGCCGCGGCACCACGGGTATGCGTATGAAGCGGACTATAAGAATGCATTCGCAACCCAAGCGAATGCGCCTCGCGCGGGCGCGTGTGTGTGCCTGTGTGTGTGAGTGTGGGTTTGTGTGTGTGTGCGCGCGCGAAATGCCACGGGATTTGAACCCTGGCCGGCGCTCCGCCAGCAGGGACACGCAGCTGCAGGTGCGGCTGCAGGTGCGTGGTGGAGTAAAAGCATCCTGCCCACTGGCTCGTTGCTTTTGACTGATGTCCCCGCCGTGGCGAAGGCCCACCCTGCGGCCTTGGGGACACCAGGACGCCGTCGTGGCTCGGGCGACGATCTAGCCACAGCCTCTCGGCGACGTGGGCCGAATGCGAGCACCAGAGGCTTTGCGTCATCCCGCTGCTCACGTCCGGCGCGTCGTCGCGGTGCGTCGCGGCGGCGTGAGACGTCCTGCGGGATATGCGATCGAACCACTTTCGCGCCGTAATGTCTAATGTCCCCGCGCTGGACGGCTCTTGGTGGCGGATGGCTGCAGGAAAGCGGTTGGGTCTACTCGGGTCTGCTCGTTCGCTCGTCAAGCCGGCCGGCCGGCCTCCGTCCCCCGCCCTTCGTCCATCGTCCTCCGCGAGTGTTCGCCGCGCCGCCCGACTCCGACGCCGCGCTCCCCGTGTGTTCGCGGTCCATCACTCTCCAGTTTTTGTGCCTGCCAGGCGCTGCCCTTGCCGCCGAGCGTGGAGCGGTGTCCACTTCGTGCCTCAGTTCAACAACGCAAACTGCAGGGAATGGAAGTTTGGCGTTCAGGGCAGAGCGTCTCGCTTAGCGCCTGCGAGTCGCGCCATGCTGTACCGCGCGGCACCGCTGTGCGGCGGGCTGGCCTATCCGCTCGGCCGGCAGGGGCTCTCAGCGATGAAGCCTTTCACATATTCCAAATTTTTGACTTTTCACCACTATTGGCTTCAATCAGATTCCGTGGAACAGTGCTCTCGTCGCTCTGTCTCTCTTGCACACATGGGGCGTCGTCAGCGCTGGGCTTTGAGAAAGAGAGAGGGAGCGACGACAGCTATGTTCGGAATGGAGCCGCTGCAGCACTGCAGCTCGATCCGGACATGACACTGTCGACCCACACGCCCTGCTTGTCGCTGCCGCGCTGCCGCGATGCTCCGGTTGTCGCCACTGGCGTGTCCTTCATCGGCAAGGAGAAGCAGGCCGCGCGGGCCAGGCGGCTAGGGGCTGCCCATGCTGGCCTTGCTGGCCATGCCGTGCGCTCCGTTGCACTGCCCAAGTTTGTCGCCGCGTTTCTCCCGTTTTTACCGTCCCTGATTGGCTCGGCCTGCCAGTGACTCCGGCATCTTGCGACATCTCCGGACTCGTCGCGGCGCTGCGTGCCGACAAGACAAGACAGGCCATGACGAGGACGTCGCCGTCGACGCGCCGGCGACACTGAGTGACAGTGCGGGCCGCCTTTGCATTCCCGGCCAGTCCAGCTCCGGGGCGTGGTGGCGTGGCCGTGGCGGTCACGATCGTGGCCGCGACCTCCGCGACGGCCATCGCGACGCCCTGGCGCTCGGCGTCCGGAGCGTGCGTGCCCCCGGCGCCGCTTGCCTCGTGTCCCTTGCGGCTCTGCCCGCCACCCGCAGCGAGTGGGCGGTCTGGCTGCTGTGGCACTGCGCAGCGCACTTTGGCTGCTTTGGGCGTTTGACGGAACGCGGTGCACTTTCTCGCCCCGTGAAGAAGCGCTTTGGCGGCGCGCCTGCCCGGCCTGCCCGGCCTGGACACGTACACGCCGCGGCCGGCGCGGCTCGGCTCGGCACGGCCCGTGTAATTGCAGCAACCGCGGTGTTCGCGTCTCGGCGGCGCGGACGGCCGGCACCGCGCTGCTGCGCGGACCAAGGGACCAGTTGTAGTCGGCGAGAACGACCGCCGTCGTGCCTGGCCGTGCCTGGCCGTGCCTGGCCGTGCCTTGCCGTGCCCCGGGCGTCGGACACAGCAACTCTTTGCAGTTGTTGGACCAAAAAACGCGGGGAGGGGACGAAAGTGGTGCTCGCATGATGAGTGTGATTGTAGGCGGGGTGCAGTTTCCCCCTGCGGGGTGAGTGGCCAGTCCTGGACACGACTCCACCCGCCAGCCTGCACCGGGACCACCACGCCCCGCCCCGCCCCGCCACGCCCCGCCACGCCCCGCCCCGCCCCGCCCCGCCCCGCCCCGCCCCGCCCCGCCCCGCCCCGCCCCGCCCCGCCCCGCCACGCCCCGCCCCGCCCCGCCCAACGCTGGCTGGTTGCCAACCCATTCCCTTTCCCGGTGTATGCCATGCGGCCCAGGCGAGCCTAGACCTCGGCCTAGACAGAGAAACTCCAGCCCGGCTGCTAATACGGCCTGGTCGCATGCATCATTGTGGACACTAGAGTCGCCTCGCCGCGAGCCTCCGGGCTGGAGGCCGCTGCCGAAATCTAAGTGGACGATCGGGACGTGTTGCGACCCGCCGACTTAATACTTCAATACCGGCACGAAGCAAGAAGCGTAGTCCGGGTGTTTATCGTTTGTCCGACCCTGTTTTGCCCATACTGTGTTTTTGTCCGACCCATTCTCTCTGGGTCAGGCTGCAGCTGGAGAGCGTCTCAGCGGCGCTCCATTGATTCAAACAACCGCGGCTTTCTCGCTCTGTCAATCAATACATAACTGCAGGACAGTTTTCCCAAAACCTGTCGATTTGTTTTGATAAAGTTTGTTCTCCTGACGATAAAGAAAATTTCAGCGAAAGAGGGCACCCCGGCGAACCGGCCCTCTTCCCTGCGGGAGTGGTGCTCACCAGACAGTTCCCCCATCTCATCACAGGAGCAACCTCAGAGTTAAACCGCAGTGGCCCCGTCATTGGTCACGTCATCTGTGATGTGGAGGAGTCCTCTCATAGTAGGCCAGGCTGCCACCTTTCCCAGTAGTTGGGTTTTGATCCCCGGCCCCCTTCCCACTCAGGGGCCATGCTACTGGTAGTCAGGAGTCTGCGTCACCCTGCCCAGCAGCGGAACCACTGGGCTATGAGAGGCACGCTTGTCGTCGGCCGATTTTGAACACTTGAACCGCCCTCGTGAGCGATGAAAGCTTGGTAAAAACATTTCGGACCGGACGGGTGTCGAACGCCGGACCCTTCCGTCGATACCCGACGCCTCACCGCTCTCGACCACCACGGCTCGTGTGGAAGAGACTGTGGAACAGAGTGCTTTGAAGCCTAGGTTCGCGCCGCGAGTCAAAATGTGTGGATGCTGGGATTCGAACACTCGACCCATCTGTCGAATGAAAAGTACAGACGACTCTCCGCACTCCGCCGCCGTGAGGCAACGCGGGTTCGAACCGCAGCGGGAGACTCAGTGAAACAATGAAAAAGTGTGTTAGTACCACTTCTTTGCATTTGTCGACTGCTGGGCGATCGATTCCTAACACACTTTTCCGGTGGATCGGAGCGCGGCGCCGCGCGTTGGCAGCGTCGCAGAGCTGCAGCGGCGGCGGCCGCGGAAATGAGTGTCACCATCTGCGGAGTGGCGTGGCGTGGCGTGCGTTCGGCGCGTGCGCCGAGCGGCCTCCTTCCTTGACGCGCCGTCCACGCCGGGCACGCCGGGCCGTCCGCGCCCTGACGAACATTGACGGCGGACTGCCCCGCGCCTGCAGCCCCGCCCCGCCCCGCCGCCAGGGCCCGGCCGGCCCTGCCCACCAGGTAGCCGTGGTAGGGCGGGGCGGCGCCGCGGTCGCTGGCGTGGAAGTTATAGCGGCCGCGCCTCGCGCCTCGCGCCTCGCGCCTCGTGAGCGATATGATAAGGGGGCGTTGCGGCCGGACGACAGGGCCGAAGCAATGTTTTGGAATTATGGACTGTAAACAAAGAAGGGCGTCACGGCTCGTCGCAGCGGTGCCTGGAGTCGAGCCTGGAGTCGAGCCTGGAGCCAGGAGCCACGGCCGGGCACTCGCGAGCATTTCACTCGTGGCCGTGCCGCCGTGCCGGCGTGCCCGTGGCGTGCGCCGGCGTGCTCGCGTGGCCACGGACCGTGGTGAGGCTTCTTCCTCATATACGTCCGGGATGGCCACTCGGCGAGACGGAGGCATCCGGCCGTCTGTCTGTCTGGAGTAAAAGGATCATTTCCAGCGCCTTATTTCTTTATGCACTGGAATTCTGGGGCCCGGGGGCCACCGACACCAGCTGCCTCGAGTCCTATGGGCTTTACGCTTCGGGAGCGAAGTGGTTGCCAAGCGGCGCTCCCTCTACCCTCCTATCCTTTCCCCTAACGGAATCAATGCGTTGACACGTAGTGTCTCCGTCGACGAATTTCCCATGGCCCTTCTCATGGACTGGATCCACCCCGAGTTGGCCTCCTCCCCCGCGGCGCTGGGCCGTCCACGCCGGGCTTGCCGCTTGCCGTTGCCGTGCCGCGGAGTGAGAAAGTTGCGCTGAAACACAGATGCCTTCAGTCGGCAGGCGATCCGCCTCAATGCGGAAAATGTAGGCGTTCCCTTTTCATTGCGCGCTTCCGCTCCGTGCCTAGTGACGAGTGGACGAGTGACGTCACCGCGTGGGGGTCGCGGGTCGTGCCCCAAAGCCCGCCAATTTCAAATGGATCGATTCGTGCAACTGTCCTCACGGCTCCTTGTTTTTTCCTTGTTGCAGTGTACAATGAGCACCACGAGCGCGACAGCCTGAACGGGGCCGCCTCCTCCGCCGCGGAGTCCCCCACGGGTCTCGGGGGCCTCGGCGGGCTCGGCGGTCTCGGCGGCCTGGGCGGCCTGGGCCTCCCGGACAAGAACGGCGTGCACGGCCGATGCGGACGCCTCCGGGGCGGCCGCACCTTCCTCAATCTGCTGTCGGGCGGGCGCGCCAATGTGGCTGCCGACATGCTGGAGCACACCGAGCCGTTGTGAGTGCCACAGTGCGACCGCGAGCACGCCCGCGGCCATCCTCCCCACCATACGACTCCGGTTTCTCTCGCTAACGCGCGTCCTTTCCCGGTTGCAGCTGCCACCTGTGGGTGACGCTGAGCTCGCTCTACGGCAAGCTCGTCATCGTCTTCATGCTGGCCTTCTGCCTCACGGAGGTCATGGACAACCCCGTGAGGCTGCTCAGCTTGCAAGTGAGTGCCCTTGTCGACGAGCATCTCCTCGCACTGTGCAGGGAATCCTGGAATCCTGACGGCGTCTCTCTGTCCTCAGGGCGTCTTCCTCATGTACCTGTACGTGGGCAGCATCGCCGTCATCATCTGCATCTACATCTGGGTGCTGATGGACTCGTGCGCCTCCCTGCACCACGGCGACCCCCGGCGGCCGTCGGCCCTGGACGCCGAGTGCGGCCACGCCATGTCCCGCTTCGGCTCCCTCAAGCGGGCCCACATCTCCAGGGACAAGACGTCGGGCACCAGCTTCTACCTCCGGGTGGGCGCGCTGGGTAAGCCTGCCTGCCTGCGTGTTTGTGGTGACAAACGAGGCGAGTAAATCTGAAAGTCGCTGCGGATGACACCCCATTAGCCGGCGAGGCCGTGCGTTTGCCGCGTTTGCCGACCGGTCGTGTTTTAATTCAATCGGCTGGCAGCTCCATTCCCACGTTTCTTCGGATTTTTTTCGACGCCAGACGGACCGCGTGTAAATCAAATTGAGTGTGACGGTCCCTGATTCCTGCATTTGTTCGCAGCCTTCGGCCTGGGCACGCTGGTGTTCAACGGCCTGGAGATGGCCATGCACTCCATGATGGAGGGCTCGTGCCTCAACGACGTCGTCTTCGTGCACCCCGTGCTGCACGGCCTCTTCACCTTCCTGCAGATGCACTTCCTGTTCGTCAACTCTCAGGTGAGGCATCGCGCGCCCGCGCACCTCCCGGCGGGTGGCCCTCACTGCAAACAGCCAGCCTAACTTGTTTTGAGTCGAGTGTAGGTGCTGGTGGAGAGGTTCGGACTGGCGGCCCGCTTCGGCTTCATGCACTTGGCGGCCACTAACCTGGCGCTGTGGATCCGCCTGGTGGTGTGGGAGTCGGGCAACGAGTGGACGTACTTCGTGCACCTGGCGCAGAGCGACGGCTACTCGTACTCGTACGACGGCCGCGGCGACCACGTGCCCACGCCGCTGCAGCTCCGCGGCTTCCCCCGCTCCGTCACCGACAGCATGACGCAGGCCGCACTGTCCGCGCCGCGCGCGCGTCGCGACCTGGGCCTCGGTGAGTACGAACGGCAGCGAGATAATTCAAACCAAGTCCATCCGTCAACCCTGTCAAAAGGCCATAAAGCCGGCAAGCGCTAATGGTCAGTCACAACCACGGACGGGCGTGCTGCCTGCCTGCCTGCCCGGGGGGGGGGGGCTGTGCGAAGCGCGTCGAGCGCCCGGCGGGTAGGCCTCCCATCCGGCAGCGAGCGCCTGTCGGGCGGGCCGTGCAGCCTCACAGCGCCGCGCGGCGGGCCGGCCTACCAGGCGCTCTCCGCTGAGATTGTGTCCACTGTCCACCCGCTAACCGCGTCTGTCGTTGTCTGTCCTGGTCTGTCCTCGCAGCCAACCACACCTACCGCACGCACTACCAGCCTGTGTCGGACAGCCACATCTCACAGGTGGTGTCCCTGCACCAGTGCCTCAACACCAACTCGCTGGGGCAGCTGTGGACGTCCTCCATGCCGTTCCTGTACCCCTTCATCATCCAGTTCAGCCTGATCGCCGCGGCCGTCACCTTCGTGATGGGCCAGCAGGTGGGCCGCGACCGGCTGCCCGCCGTGAAGCACCGCAAGGGCTCGTCGGGCGGCGTGCTGAGCGGCAAGGCGTGCGGCGTGCGCACCGCCATGCACGCCGCGGCCCTGGACTGCGCCGGCGCCTCCAAGGGCCTGTTCCTCGGCCTGCTGTGCCTCGTGGCCGGCATCGTCGTCATCATCATCTTCCTCGTCGTGAAGGAGGACACCGACTTCCCCGCCGAGACCGTCTTCTGGCTCACCACTGGCGCCCTGGCAACGGTAACAAAAATGAAATAACCGGCAAAACGTCTGTTGGAAGTAGATGACTACGTGGCCCTTGTCGTGGCGCAGGTCCTCACGCTGAGCATCCTGATGACGGCCGTGGGGCTGGTGCAAGTGCGCAAGCTGTCGCACTCGGGCCGCGAGCCGTCCGCCCTGGACCGCCTGCTGTCGTCCGCGACGGTGGCGGGCGTGCAGCTCTACACGGCGTTCGGCATCGTGGTGGGCGCCGCGGGCGTGGGGCTGGTCCCGGACATCCTCAAGCCAGCGCCCTCCTTCCCGGTCAGCATGTCTTTCTGGATGCCGTTATGCCGAATCGAATTCCCTCTGACAGGTTTGTCGATTTGCCCGCAGGACGGCGCCAGCGTTGCTGCCCCGGACGACGACGTGGTGTCCATCTGGCCGCCGATGACGCCGGACCAGCGGCGCCACGCCATGCTGCTGGCGGTGTCGGGGCTGCAGATGCTGCAGGCCTGCATGCAGAGCACCATGCTGGCCGAGGCGCTGCGCCGCACCTCCATCACGAGGCACCAGGCCGAGTCGCGGCCGGCGCGCCAGGTCGTCACGTTCCTGCTGTGCGCCAACGCCGTGCTCTGGGCCTACGACACCTTCGTCACGCAGAGCTGGCTGAGCCAGGAGCTGCAGCTGCGCTTCTACGGCGTGCTGGCGTGGGGCGTGGTGTCTCGCGTGGGGCTGCCCCTGCTCGTGTTCTACCGCTTCCACTCGTGCGTGTTGCTGCTGGACGTATGGCGCCGCTGCTACCAGGCGCCGCCCCGACTGCAGGACCTGCTCGACCCGGGAAACTGACGTCGGCGGCCGTGGGGATCCCGTCGTGCCCGCCCGGCAAGGGCGACCGCCACCCCCGGCCCAGAAGGCCCACTGCCCACCACCACCTCCACCCCCACAGACCCCCGGCCGCGGCCTCCGCCCTGCGCTGGCAGCGGCCCCGCCGCCACTCCGCGCCGTCCACGCCGTCGCCCCGCCTCGGCCACGACGCCGCCCACACTGACGACTCCGACGGCCTGGCCAGGGGCGACGTGCCGTCCTGGCTGGTGCGACTCAACGCCAGGGTGTCGCAGCGCGTGGCGTCTCACGCGCCGCGCCCTCCGATCCGCACCGACACCTCCTCGGCGTCCGAGCAGGAGCCGCAGGAGCCGCAGGAGCCTCAACTCAACGAGCGACCCCCTTGCCCGGAGCAGCGCGAACACCGCGCGGAACAACGCGTGGCACGCGAACAAGTGCGGCAAGCAGAGCAGCGGCCACCACAGCCACTTCCAGAGGGACCGCCCGAGCGGCCACCAGAAGAGCAACCGCCCGAGCGACAGCGCGGCCCACCGCAGCTACTGCAGCAGTTGCAGGAGCAGCTGCGACGAAGACCGCAAGCGCCCCCGCCTCCGCCCGCGCCCCCGCCGCCGCCTCCGCCGCCGCCGCCGCCACCACCAGCACCCCCGAGGCCGCCGCAACACCCGCCTCATCCAGCTCGGGCGGCTGTGGTGGAGTCGACTGCGGCGAGGATGCCGCAGCAGCCGCCACTGCCGCCTCCTCCTCCCCCCCTCCCCGGGGACGTCCGACCCGCAAGAAGGCCCTAGAGGGAGTCCTGGTGCTGGGTCACCGTTCCGCAAGGCACCCTGGCACCCCAACCTCCACTTGTTCAAGTACTGAAGCGTGACCCCCCCTCCCCCCTCTTCCCCATGCGCCCCGCGCGGTTCTGTGCCTTATTAGTTTGTCCCTGGTCCTTTTTCTCTCACGCTTAGACTTTCGTCGCAGCCACTGGTCGGATGGGAGGGCGGCCTAGCAGCGCGACGCGCCGGCGACACCGACACCAACAAGGCCGTCAGGAGGAAGGCCGCGCCGCTAGCGCCGCCAGCCCCTCGCCCGACCCGTCCCCGAGCTGGATGGAAAGCCTAAGTATGATGGTGTAAGGTGTATACGGTACTGATGCAGTATTATATTGTGTGTAGAGTAGATTATGACCGGGACTAAAACGTCGTGGTAGACGACTACAGTAATGCTGGGTCTATAGTAGCTCAGATGAGAAAGATGTGAAAAAGATGTCTACGTTTCCCTTTTGTGTTGTTACTGTGATAGGCAAAGATTTGGTTGTTTTCAAATGAAAATTATTGTTATCGTTTTTGTTTATTGTTTCTTGTTATTTTTTTTACTTGAAATTTTTTTCTACTTTGTTAAAAATGAAGAATCATTCATGGCTAATTTATTGTTTATTCCAAAGTCAATATTTATGTATCGAGGTGAGATTCTTTAATAAATGCAAATTATGAAAGTAAGTGCGTTTGGCTAGGTCTTTATGATAACATACTTAGTGCACCAAGTACAGTATGCTGAATGAAACTGGTTACAGTGTCATAAACTTGGTAACTTTGTACAAAAAGAGCTCTTTTGCGTAAAGAGCTAAATACTGTATAAAAATGTGTACCTACAATAATAAATAATTTTACTTTAAGTTTAAGAGAAGCTTGTTCATTTCCCATCCCAAGAGCCCATCCCAAGTGTCACAGAGCTTGCTGCAAGAATTCCATCATTTTTTCTACATTTCTGCATGGTGGAGGGGAGCTTCATCTCCAGCGAGGGCGTCCTGGTGGCGCCAGGTTTGTTTGGTTGGACATTGCGGCATGTCGTCAGCGAGCGTCCAATAACCGCGCCGTGAGATACTGCAAACTGCCTTCCCCGCGGCGCTTCATTTCGGCGCTAAAATTAACGCAGGGGCTGCAATGCCGGGAGGGGCAGGGGGCGGTGGTAGTTAGAACAATGAGGTGCGCGGCGGAAGACACCGAGGCTTCCAAACGGGGAGCCGGGGACCACCACCCGGTGCCTCCCGGCCGACGACGCCATCCGAGCGGACTTGGGCGCGGGTCGCGGGGTTCGTCGCCAGGCGAGCCGATTCCGTCTACTCTCCTACACTAAGTTTAGCCCACGCGTCTGGGGGGAGGGGGAGTCTTCGGCAAGCCGCGGCGTGCAAGCCACGCGCCGCGCACTGCCGCACTGCCGGCACGGGGCTCGTGCTAAGTGGCGGTACGTGCGGCACGCGCGAGCCTGCACGAGTACGCGCGTGAGGTCGTGCACGCGCCGGCCCGTGTGTCAGTGCGTGTCAGTGTGTGAGGCGGGTGCGCGGCCGTGCACCGAGCCATGGCGACCAAGCAGCTGAAGCAACACGTGAAGCCGCCGGCGCCGCAGCAGGTGGGTCCGTCCCGTCCCGTCCGGCCGTGGTGTCAGCGAACGGGTTGCTTCGGTTGCTTTATGGCGCGAGTAAGTCATCGGTAACGAGGCCCGGCCGACGCCGCCGCCGACACGCCGCCTCGCAGATTCGGCAGGAAGGGCAAGGCGCTCGGAGCGGAGCGCTGCGCTGCGCACTGGCCGCGCGCCGCGCGTCCTGCGCATCGGGCGGCCGTGGGGCGGCCGTGGGGCGGCCGTGGGGCGGCGGCGCGGGGGAGAAAGGGGCGGGGCAGCGGCCCGGCCGGTCAGAGACCCCTCCCTTGCCCCTCTCCGCCCACTGCGCGGCACAACAAACGAATGGACTCTTCTGGCCCAACGTCGCCTGGATCAAAGTGATGTCAGTACGAATTTCCGGTGTTTCCTCATGTTGCGCCATCAGCTTCGTTCTGTCCGCAGGCCGCGGGCTAGTACAGTGGAGTGGGTGGCTTGCCGGCAATAACACTGATTGAAAGCAAGTCGGAAACGGCGGTGTTCGCGCGGCTAATCGACACTCGACTGCCAACGCGCGTCACTTATTAAGGGGAAAATCACGCCGCTGGCACCACGCCGACCACGCCCCGGGTACACGGCCCGTATCGGCGCGCTGGCGGAGCCCTGCGGCGACACGGCCACACGGCGACACGCGCACAAAGTAACCAAGCGCGTGGTCGCCGACCGCGTCGCCACTCCCCGCCCCGCCCCGCCAAGCCACTCCACTTGATTTACACGCCGTCGCCGCCGTCGTCGCCGGCATGACTTCGGCCCCGGAAAACGACTTTAACAAAACCGCTTCCTTCCGCGGCTGGCGGGCCGCATGATGGACGACAGTGGACGACAGGCGTCGCTCTGCCCCTCCTCGCCGTGCCCGCTCTGACCGTTTTGCGCATTTTGCGCGTTTTGCAGGGTCCGTGCGCGGGGGCGTGTGCCGGGCCGTGCGCGGGGCCCTCGGCGGGGCCTGCTTGCGCCGTCTGCGGGGCGCCGGCCGGACAGCGCTGCGCGGGCTGCGGAGGGGCGTACTACTGCGGCAAGGACCACCAGAAGCAGCACTGGAAGCAGCACAAGCCCGCCTGCTCGCCCGTCAAGGTGGGTCCCCGTCTCGGTGCCCGTCTCGGTCCCCGTGGGTCCGCGACGAACTCAACGCTCATTCCGCGCACAGCGCCTCGTTGCTCTGCCCTGCACAGTGGCGGATCCAGAGTCGGTCCGGGGGGGGGGGGGGACCTCACTCTGCACCGCCACAGAGTGTTGCTTTTGGCCTGCCTTTTAGGCGGCTATCTAGGAGTGGGGATGGGGACAATTGTCCTTTTGCGCCCCCCCTCTCCTCTCCTTACACTGCTTCCTGCAGGAGTCGCGGTCCGCGGAGATGGGCCGCTTCCTGGTGGCGGCGCGCAACCTGGACGCGGGCGAGGTGGTGCTCAAGGAGGCCCCGATGCTGGAGGCGCCGCCGCCCAGCACGCCGCCCCTGTGCCTGACGTGCTACAAGCCGCTGTGCGAGGCGACGGCCCGCGACTGCCCGCGCTGCGGCTGGCCCATGTGCAGCACGGAGTGCGCCAACAACCCCAAGCACCGCGGCGAGTGCAGGCTCACCATGCAGAAGAGGGGCAACAGGGTGAGTCCGGAGTCCGTGGCTCGGCCGAGGCTCGCTGCAGGCAATCCGTGATGCCTTCGTGTGCTGTGCCGGCGTGCCGCAGATGAACATCCGCAACTTTGGGCTGCCGCACCCCAGCTACCAGTGCATGGCCACGCTGCGCTGCCTCGCCCTCAAGGAGGCCCAGCCCGCCAAGTGGCTCCGGCTGCAGGAGATGGAGTCCCACCACGAGCAGCGCCAGGGCTCGCCCAGGATGGAGCAGGAGCGCTTCGCCGTGGCGCAGTTCATCCTCCGCGTGTTCCCCAAGCTCCGCGACGAGGACAAGATCACCGAGGACGACATCCTCAAGGTGTGCGGCATCCTGCAGGTGAGTGTGCTCGGTGTCGAACTCTTCCATTCCCAACACGGCGATCAGAAGGTAAAGAAACCTCTCTGCCCGCCCAGGTGAACGGCCACGAGGTGCCCCTGAGCGAGCCCCCGCACGTGGCCGTGTACGACAAGGGCTCGCTGCTGGCGCACTCGTGCCGCGCCAACTGCGCCAAGAGCTTCTCGTCAGCGGGCGAGCTGGTGGTGCGGACGTCCACGGCCGTCAAAGCCGGCGAAACCCTCACCATCTGCTACACGGACCCCATGTGGGGCACGGCGGCGCGCCGCCAGCACCTGTTCGAGACCAAGTTCTTCTGGTGCCGCTGCGAGCGGTGCCTAGACCGAACCGAATTCGGCACTTACTTCAGCGCGCTCGGCTGTCCCGGGTAAGGACTGGCGGCCCTCAACTGCAGCAGGCTGGTGGCGGGTCAGTGGATTCGCCTCTCTCGCACCCATCAAGTGCCTTGAGTGTGAGAGGGGCCTTCCGCTCGGAATGAGCCTGACAGCCGCTGACAGGCGCAGAGAGGCTGAGTCTTCCTAAGTCTTCCCTGTCGGCCCGTTGGCCTGTTGCAGCGAGCAGCCGGACTGCCCGGGGCACATCCTGCCGGACGACCCGCTGGTGGAGGGCGGGGCCCCGGAAGACGGCGACCCCGACATGGGTGACGCCATGTACTGGCGCTGCTCGCAGTGCGACGTGAGCATGCCGCAGGGCTCCGTGCTGTCGCTGCTGCGGAGGGTGGGCGAGGACCTGGCCGAGCTGGACAAGGACGACGCCGAGGCGTGCCGCATCTTCCTGCAGCGCTACGGCGGTGACGAGTTCCCGCTCGACCTCAAGGTGACCCCAGGCTGACCCCAGGCTGACCCCAGGGCGACCCTTTGCCCCGCTATCGGACGCATCTGCCGCCATTCGCGACGGATGTTGATTTCCCGGCGCTGCTTGTCCTGCTGCAGGAGAAGGACGCGGTGCGGCGGCCGCTGCTGTCGCGGCACCACTTCTACCTGACGGACGTGCGGCTGGCGCTGGCGCAGCGCTACGGCCAGGACGGCGCCGACGCCCAGCAGGGCCTGAGTCAGCTCACGGCCGGCGAGCTGGCGCACAAGCGCGCGCTGTGCCACCAGCTGATCCAGTTGGGCGAGAAGCTGGTGCCGGCCGAGCACCGCATGCGCGGCTTGCTGTGGTTCGAGCTGCACGCCGTGGAGGCCGAGGGGTCGCGGCGCCACGGCCTCGACCAGGGCCCCGACCCGGACGCCCTGCGCGCCAGCCTGCTGGTGAGTCCCAAGTCCCATCCCGCCGGCTGGGCCACGGCCTTGCCTTTTCCAATTAGCTGCGTGTCAAAACTGCTAAACGGCGCTGCGTTTCGCGATTCGCGTTTCGCCGCGGTTCGTCTGCCCGCCAGGAGTCCCGCCGCTGCCTCGCGGAGGCCGTCAACCTGCTGCGCTGCGAGCCCCCGGAGCTCCCCGAGGGCAAGGTGCTGCGCCAGGCCCGGCTCAACCTGCAGGACCTGGACCAGTTGCTGTGCGCGCTGCACAACGCCGTGGGCGTCGCCCCCATGTGAACCCACCTACCGTCACTCTGCTGTCATTCCCACCACAATAAAACTTAAACACAAAACGCCGAGTTCGTTAATTCGCTGTCTTCTTTCAGGCTTTCAAAAGCAATGATCGTACGGACTTTAGGATGCTGGTAATGAGGAAGAGCACAAGCATCATTTACAGTTTTAATATATATTTGCGACGAATGAATACAAATAACTTAAATAACTTAAAGCGAGGCCTTATGAAACTAGTTTGAATACTGCACAAATTGCTCTGAGACAACAAAAAAAAAGGAGCCCAAATGGAGAAAGAGGAAAGAGGGCAAATAACCGGAGTCGGTCGCAAAATCACACGTGGCAAAAATAATAGTTATGAGATAAAGTTTGGGATTGACATTCGAGATTGGGGCGAGGGTTGCGGGTTTAAACATAATACATGGCAAAATTACATCTTTACGAGAAACTTAAACCTAGATTCACACTTCAGATCGTCAGTCACAGTCGCAGCTTGATGTGCCGAGTTCGTCAGTCAAGACATCGGAGTGAGTTGGTTTGCCTGGCAGCGCCTGCGTGACAATGGAAAACCAGAACCACTGCGCGTCTTGGATAAGACCCGGAAAAAACAGTCATATTACGCAGTCGAAACACACGAGAGAAAAAAATAAAGGTGTGTCGACGTACAGTATTACGACTGTCCCTGTCGTACCATTATACGTAGCTTACACAAAATATGGAAGTGAAGCGCCAAAAGTGCACAGTGGACATGCGACCCGTCTTCAAAATGCTTTGCAAGTAATACTGTGTGGGAGTTCGGTGGAATTGAACACGCATTTTTTTTAGCCGTTCACTATTCAGTCTCATAGATAAGTGTTTTCTCTCTTGCATTTCGTTTCTTTTCCGAAGAACAGCCTTTCACGTGTGCCATGGTGCCGATGCCCGAGCAGGGCGCGCAACACCCATGGTAGAGGCAGTTTTGATTTTGATTCGTTTTCTCGGCTCCGCACAGGGAAGAAGCCCTCCTATGCGCACATCACATCACACCCCAGATCCATCATAGATACTTAGTTTGATCAATCAAAACTTGAAGGGGGGTGATTCCCATTTCGGAGTTCTTTGCTAGCAAAAGTGGCCTACCCTACATGACCATCCTGATACCCTACTAGTGCCACCACTTCAAACGCGGATTAGATTGAAGGGTTGCCTCAAGGGCCATAGCATCCGGGCGCGTGGCCTACGTCACGGCCTACGTCAAGTCTTACGTGGCCCTCGAAGCCCTCGTGGCCCGAGCCAGTTCAAGTCCAAAGTAGGGCCTCCCGCAGAGTCCGGAGGAGTTGGAATATGACGAAGTCCCGGGAACAAACGCCGCCTGGCAACACGAGTGGCCGCCGGGCCGGCAGCGGAGACGTCTGCCTGCGTCCAAGTCCAGTAGACGCGGGGAGACGTCCGCGCGTCGCCGCGGCGCCCGGCCGGCCGGAGGCGAGGCAAAGGCAAAGGGCCCTCAGATCCAGACGAAGCCCCAGTACAGGACGTTGAACACGACGAAGCTGAGGGGGAAGACGACGCGACTGCGCCGGTCGATCCACTGGGCGATTTCCTGCGGCGTCATGGTGGTGAAGCCGTGGGCGGCGTGGCCCGGTGCGCTCAAGCCCTGCTCGCACTGCGCCATGTTGTTGGCCTTGTAGCCCTTGCTGCCCTTGCCGGCCTTGCCGGCCGCGCACTGCGCCGGGATGGGCACCACGATGTCGTGGCAGTCCGAGCTCAGCCCCGGCACCGAGCCCGCCGCCAGCGTCGAGTTGAGCGTGTACGTGGACGAGAAGGGGTCCCGCATGGACTCCAGCGAGCCCACGCTCAGCGTATTGGTCTGGCTCTGCAACAGGACAAGAGGAGCGTCAGCCTGGCCGCGTGCTGGGCGCTGGCGGTGCGGGGCAGACCAAGGGGCAGAGTGCACTCACGAAGAGGTTGCCGTCGGACGGCTTGCGGCCCTCCTCCACCATGTCCGGGCACGACCGGCAGCGCTCCATCATGGTCTGCTTGCGGTGCAGGGTGGGCGTGAGCGTCGACTTGAGCACGTACTTGGTGTTGACCTTCTTGAGCTCCACGTTGTTCCTGCGGACAGATTCGGAACGCGTTTTAGTTCCGCCGGCGGCGAAGGCGGAGCGGCAATCGAAGCCTAGGGTCACTCACTTCCGCCTCCAGATGGTGTTGACGAAGGCGAACTCGACGAGGGAGCCGAAGATGAAGGCGGTGCACACCATGAACCAGATCTCCGTCGCCTTGATGTACGACACCTTGGGCAGCGGGCTGCCCGAGTTGCGGGTCAAGGTGATGAACGTCAGCATGGTGCTGGTGCCTGAGCGCGGCGCGCGACAGATGAACCAAAAGTAAATTAAAGGCACGAAATGGAACCCTTCTCTGGAGTGATTTGTGCACGGCACTTACCCAGCGTGGTGCGACCGGGCACGGCGTTAGGGTCCAGCCAGAAGGACACCCAGGACACGACCACCAGCAAGATGGAGGGCACGTAGTAGTCCATGATGTAGTGGCCCACCTCCCGCTTGAGCAGGAACTGCACGTTGAGGCGCGAGTAGTTGCCGCCTGGAGACACCATGGTGCACGCACCGCGTTAGCCAGTCGACCAAACCACCACTCCGCAAACAGCTCTGAAAAGGCCCCTCGCCTCACCGAATTTGTCCAGGCCCATCTCGTCCACGGTCATGTCGGGCGTGTACTGGTAGGTGGCCTCGCTCTCGTTGGCCCAGTGGCTGCTGAGGCTGTACTCGGTGAGGCGCAGGCCCGGGTCCAGGATGACGGGGTTGTCCTTCTCCCAGTGCAGTTGCATCTCGGTCGTGTTGTACATCCCTGCAGCAAGGTAGGCCACGTTATTGTAATAAAAAGATGTCCAAATTTAAAAAAAAATATTGGCTGCATAGAGAAAGACTCACAGCTCTCAAACACCATAGGGCACGACTGCTGGTCGAAGGGGAACTTCTGCAGGTCCATGATGCACAGCATGGTGACCTTGATCCTGGTGGAGAAGAGCACGGTGCCGGAGGGCTTGATGGTGACGATGACGTCCTCCTTGCCCGCGCCCATCACCCGGGACTCGTGCTCGTTGACGAGGTAGACGTGTGGCACCCAGATGCGGTCCCGGATCATGGTCTCGCCGATCACCTTGGTCAGGGCGGGCGACGTCTCGGAGAAGGCCAGGCGGGGGTCCGTCCAGCGGTAGCGCAGCATGATGTGCGCCGAGAAGCGCTGCGGGCACGATCATCGGTTCGAATCCCTGCTCACTCCTTTTCATTCATATTTGAAAACGAAAAAGTTACCAGAGTGTGCGCCTCGACGGAGCCGAGGTAGTAGACAAACATGCGCGTGTTGATGGGCAGGGGGTCGCCGTCGTGCTCAGGCCTGGCGAAGCGGTCGTAGCGGCAGGGGTCCGTGAGGCGGACGAGCAGCTCGAACGAACTCAGGTCAGGCTCCAGCGCGGGGCAGTTGGATGAGCTGGAACGAAGGTCAGTCTGTGGGCTTTCGGCAGCTTTCGGCAGCTTTCGGCAGCTTTCGGGTGTCGCCTGCTGAGCGCCATGTCAAGGGCCACGGCGCGAAAGTTAGGGCTGTTGTTTTGTTTGATAACAGACGAGACAAATAATGGCAGTGATGGGCGGACGCGCTCGCCGGCCCACTTCTCGTCGCGAGCGCCGCTAGATAGAGCGGGAACAAGTTTCGCGAAAAAGATACTGTTCAAGTGCGGCGGGCCGTCCGGCCGTCGGGCACCTCCAACGGTGACGTCACGGTCACGCCACCGGCGACCGTGGGGGAGGCCGTGGGGGAGGACGTGGGAGTCCACGGTGCAGGCCGTGGGGGATGCCGCGGTGGAAGCCGCGGTGGAGGCCGCGGGAGGCTGGGTCGTGCGGTGGACGCCGAGAGGCGTGGAGGCCGCGAAGGCCAAGGCCACCGAGTGACGCAGCCCTGCATAAATGCAGCGCTCGGCGCGTCGGGACCTGGTCGGGGCCCTGGGATGAACGGCCACCGCGGCTTGGTGGCGTCGGGGCGGGGAGGACGACTCTCTGTCTCACTCCACTCGAAAGAGAAAGAGGAAGGGACGCTCCAGCCCTGGCCACTGCGCTGGCGGCGCTGGCGGCGCGGTACATCCGGTACGGCAGACGTAACTGCCGTTGTCGCGTAGGTGGTGAGCGCGGTGCCTTGGGGCACTGCGAGGGCCTGGCGAAACTCTTACGGGCACTGCGAGCGCGGTGCCCTGGTGGAACCACCCACCGAAGGGGCGCCTCTTCTCTCGGAGAAATCGTCACTTGGGAGGCCGAAAACTCCAAGGCAAGGACACACAGTGCCGCCAACCTGCCAACGCCACAATCCCCGGGAGCCCCGGGAGCTGGGAGCCGAGTGAAGTGCCGCGGCGCCGCGCCTCTGTTTGCCAGGCGAGTGTTTTATTGGGGGGATCAGCGAGCATCAGCTGCGAGGCGAAACAGGAACAGAAACAGAAACAAAAACAAGCTGCCGTGACGAGCCAGATAAGGCGAGCGCGTGGGCTGCGGCAGCGAAGGGATGGGACGCCTCGGCTTCGGCCTTCAGAACGCCCTTGCACTTCCAGTGCGCCTGCGAGGGCGGCATGGCAGTGTGGCCACACGGCACACGGCGCTGCCGGGCCGGCAAGGGCTGCAGATAAGCCCCGGGGTTTGGCGCGCGGCACCGCGTTTGTGCAGCCGAGCGGGCCGAGCAAACAGGGCCCGGCTGGGGCTGATAACGGCAGCCAAGGCGCTCCATTAAGGTGGAGATGTGCGCGCCCCGCGGCCCTGCGGCCCCGCCACCTGGTGGCGCTGCCACCGCCGCGGCAAGAAAGCGACGCGGTGCATTGGAGCCGTCGCAGGCCTAGCGGGCGACCGGACACTAGCCGAAACTGTGTCTCGCAAACTTGGCGGAGAGTTGCACGCGACTTGAGTTTGTTTCGCAATCGGCGAGGTTTACGACTCTAAGACCGCGAGAGTCTAGTTTAGTCTGATTGTCCTGACTGGCCGCCTCGGATTCCCGCAGCGCCGCAGCGCCGCAGCGCCGCACGCACGCTGTCCCGGTGGCCGGAGCCCGGAGCCTGCGGAGCCCAGGGTAGGCCACGAGGCACGGGCGTCGGGCGGGCGGCCTACCCCTCGTCCGGCAGGCGTCAGGCCGCGCGGAGCGACGTCACGACGTCACGACGTCACGACGTCCACCCGGCCTGCGCCCAAGTGTTCAAGTGTAGTGGCGGAGTAGTCGATCGCGTCGACCGGCATCTGCGCGCTCAGAGGCCAGACGAAAGGAAATGGGCGGCCCGAGTCGTGGTCTAATTGCGGCGCGACGGCGACTTATCCACTCAGTAAAGGATTTCCGCGGGCGCCCTGATCGCGCCGAGCACTGATAGCACCGCCCTGCGCGGCACGGCAGCCACGTGGTGCGTCACGCGTCGCGTCGCGTTGCATCGAGCGCGGCGATAATTAAATTGACGGACGATGACGTTTACGAGCAGTAAACCGGGCCAAGCAGTGCCAAGCAGTGCCAAGCAGTGCCAAGCAGACGGTGGCAGCCAGGGCAGCACGGCGCACGTACCGTACCGTACCGTACCGTACCGTACCGCGCGGCACCGCCTGCCGCAGACTGCCTGCGAGGCACTGCGAGGCCGAGGGCCGCCGAGGGCCGCCGAGGGCAGAGGACCTCATGCTGTAGCGAGTGCGTCGCCAGGTGCGAGCCGCGCGCCGAGCGACGGTGAATCACGCGGTGATTTGCCGTTTGGTGTACACGAGCACGATACAGTACACATCAATCCTACAAACTTTCAGAGTTCGAATGACTGTTTAGCGATTGCTTCGACAAAGAGTGCTAAATCATCCTCAAACCAGTTTTGTCTTGCTTTATAGCAGATTGTGACAGCAAGACAACAAATCTCAGCATGATCTGGGGTGAATCGCTAGTCGGCTAGTCATCACCTGGACTGTACTTCATGTAAACAAAGCGTGCCAAATCATGCTGAAATTTTGTTATGTCTTGCTCTGTAATGAGGATTGTGACAGCAAGACGTAGGAAATTTCAGCATGATCTGGCACTCTTTGTATACATGAAGGACCACCCCGGTGTACCTCTCGGCCTTATCGTGACACAAGTTGCGCTTCGGAATTGGGCAGACTCGCCCAGTCCCTCTCCCAGGAGGCCCCACGAATCCTCGAGTGTGTGTGAGAGAGAGAGCTTGCAGCCCTATGACCGCACCGCGCACGCCCACACGCGCGTGGGCCAGGGTCAGACCAGTCCTGCAGAACGATTCCAAACATCGCTTGGTTCCCTCCATCCATCAGTCCGGCTGCCATCGGGCCGCCATCGGGCCGCCATCGGGCCGCCATAGAACGAGCCGCTAGACGCTAGACATTAATTAGGCAGGGCCGGCCTCGGCGCGGCCCGTGCTCCGCGGCTCCGCGCTCCGGTCGTGTCGATTCCATTCGGCCACCTTCGGATACTTCCGGTACTTCCGGTACTTCCGACTTGACCCGCGCCCCGCGCCTCTCGCGTCACAACCGGGTACTTGATTGGCGCGGCACGGCATGACCACGCACGGCCCGCCACCACTCGGGGCCATTCGAGTACCCGCTTCCTCCGACAACATCCGGTCCTGGGCAGTCAAGGAATCGGCTCTCCGAGACGCAGCACTGCGCAGCACTGCGGAGCACACACGCGGAGAATGCTGTTGGCGTTGTCGATCCGACTGGCGGCCATGGCGACTCGGGCGACTCGGGCGCCGCCTCGACGCGCATCCGGATCAAATCGGTCTCGGCGCGCGCACGCCGCGACGTCGAGTGCCGCCACTCGAGAGCCGCGCGGGGCCGCGGGGCCTCCGCACCGGGTACTTGTTCCGGGCACTCGAAACCGGGTACCCGTCGAGTACTCGATGCCTTATCGGCGACATCGGGTACCCGCTCAGCGTGGAGTGCGGAACGACCGTGAAAAGTTGCAAGGCGGGCTGGGGTATCTCGTACTAGAGCCTGACCCGAACGAACGCTGATTGGCCGATGGCTGATGCAACTCGCGGCCACTCGCGGCTTGTCGGCTCAACGCGTCCCCGTGCACTCGCCCCGCCATGCCATGGCCCCGCCATGGCCCCGCCCCGCAGCCCGCAGCGCCGCAGCGCCGTGTCGGGACGTCCGCGTCCTCCTATGCCTTATACGGCACCGGCACCGACAGCAATTAAAGGCCCTCTCTGGAGACACGAAACGCGCGAGGCGCGCTCGGACTTGAACCTCGAACCCCGAAAACTCGGTGGTCGGCGGAAAATGAACGCTGGCCGCTCCCTCCAATCAACGGGCAAGAGCTTTCTTTTCCTTTCCTTTCCCGGGCCGCCCTCCGCGAGGCAATCCGATGACGCGGCGCCACAGCGTTTTCGTCGCCCTGTCTCTCTCGTACTCACAGTGCGTTCCGTGCGAGAGAGACAGGGCGACGGAGCAGCCTGCCTCCGATTACCGGCGTCGCGACGTGCTGCGTGTTTTCCTCCCGGAGAGAGAGATTCCTGGCGGGCGACGCACCGCGCCTCGCACCGCGCCGCCTCCGCCACCATGCACCGCTCCGGGGAGACGGAAGCCTCTTGCGCCTCGGTGCCTCGAGCCTCGACGGAAGCTGTGGCGGCGCCGTCCAATCCGAGCGGGCAAAAAGCGAATCAAGGTGACAGGGGAGCCCTTGGCGGGGGGAGCCCTTGGAGAGCCTCGGGCGCGCCGCGCTGCACGTCGGAGCACGTCGAAGCGGGCCGCTCGATAAGGGAACCAGAAAGAGGTTCGCGACGGCCGGTGCTGTCATGCTGTCGCGATGTCGCACCCACGATTTGCAGGCCGCCGCTCCGGAAGTTGCAACTCGACCTCCAGACTTCTCCCTCCCCCCCCCCCCCCCCAACACACACACACCACACGCCTTTTCCCTTTTAGTGTAACGCAGAGAGGAACGGCGATCAGTGCAACGAACGGGCAGGAAAGGCGGCTCTCGGTCCAACACCGCGGTGGAGCCCGCGTCGGCCATGGCGTCGGCCGTGACGTGGCGTGTGGACTTGATTCGCGAAACAAGAAACAAGAAACAAGGTCCCCTGATTTAAACGACGGGAAAAGCGGAGGCGCCGTGCCTGCCGAGGCGCCGAGGGCCTGCTGATAAGAAGACACGGCACACACTACCGCCGAACGCCCGCCGCACGCCTACACGCAAGCAGACAGTCGGGTGTTGTCGTCTGGGGTTGCCCTCACTCTCTCACCGTCCGCGGCGGGCAAACGAAATGCGCCAGTTGGCGGCGCCGGCATCTGAAGCCTCCGCCGTCTCTTCTCTTTCAGCTGCCGCCTTCCCCCCACCTTTCCCTCTACTAATTTGCCTCGCATTGTCTGCCAGTGTCTGCCGGCCTCCCGGGCCGCGCCGAGCGCGACACGTCACCGCTGTCACCGGCAGCGCGAGCGCGGCGTGCTCGGTGGCGTGCGGCCCCCAGGACGGCAGACTCCAGCACCAGCCTCCGACGCGGGGGGAGACTTTGTCGCGCGAGTGGGTCCTGGCGGCCCGGCGGCCTGGCCACTGCCACCGTGCTGCTGGGCGGGCAGCGCGGGGCGCGGCGTAGCGGCCCCACCCTGGTCCCGGGCCCACCGGGTCCACCCCAGCCACCGCGGTATCAAGTCTTGCGGTCGCAGGGAGCTCCGCCACCGCCCCGCTCTGCTTTATCGGGCCGTCACCGTGCACCGTCGTCATGGCCGCCTGGCTGGCGGCAGTTAGCTGTGGCGGCTGTAATTCGGCGAGCACTATGCCGCCGCACGCGGTGCCGCACGCGGTGCCGCCTGGCGGCCTGCCTGATTCACGGGCATGGCAGAGAGAGAGTCATCAAGCGGCAGCGGGGCGGCACCTCGCACGCGCGCGAGGGAATCGTCCGGGTTAGCTGACTCGAACTGAATCACTTTTGGCAGTTTGTTCGATGTGACATGCGATTGAAAGCCTTCCTGCTCGAGGAGGAAGAGATGGCGTCACAGGCTCACCTGTCCAGGTTTGCCACAGCCCTGCTGGGGGAGGCGACCGCGCTCACGGCGTCGGCGGGGCGCAGCATCCCGACGCAGCAGACGGCGCCGAGGATGGCGAGGGCGGTGCTGGTCATGGTGGCGGTGAGGTGCTGCTTCGCTGCGCGCCTTGCTGCGCGCCGCCACCAAGCCGACTGGCGCAGACTGGTGCCGCGGGATGACCAGGTTGCCTTTGGTCCGACTGCGAGTCCTTATCTTGGCTCTCAGCGTCCTGGCCGGCCCGGGCCCCCACTGCGTCGCGGCGGTCGCGGCCACGGCGCCGCACTTAAGCAGTTCAAACAGTTCGGCGCGGGCTACGCAGGGCTGCGGGTCTCGCGAGGCGGCAGCAGGCGGCGGAAGGATTATCGGGAGCGACCTAAGACCTAATCCTAAGCTCTGTGACCACCGCGACCACGCTATCGGACTATCGGTGCCGATCCGGACTCGGCATGGCCACGGGCAGAGCACGGTCTGCACGGAGGGCTGTGGGTGACTGGCGGCGTGCATGGCCTCTGTGTCTGTGCCTCTACTGCCTCCCGGCCGTGTCCCTACCACTCGCCGTCTCCGTCTCGCAGCCCCCTCCCCTCCCTCTCAAGACTGCGGACGGACGAACAGCCAGCGGGCTAGCTGCTGGCTCCCCTTGGTAATGCCGGGTAGGCCGGCCCGCAACACAGCCGTGTTCGACGGGACTGCCCAGCGCACGGCGATTGCGATTGCGATTAATGCCTGGACCACAAATGATCGTCTGGCTTTCGGGCCCGCCCGGCCATGTCGGTGATACACCAGCACGTGACGGGGCGTCCCTACTGAGAGGAGTGGTTTTCTCGGTAGACCGGGTACATACACCCACGCATCTGGGCATGTAGCGGGAGCAGCTTTTGGCCGTTCACCCCTACACACCTTAGCCGAGTCTCATTACTGGTCCGCTGGAGCGCGCAAAGACGAGGAAGCCATTTCACGGGCCATGTAGTGGCATGGGGCTCTCAACAATTATTGGGTAGATTTTTGTAGACTTGAGTTATTATTAGCAGGAGTAAAAAAAGATAAAGTGATCAAATTTCAACAAGACAGTCCAATATATTTTCACAGTCTAACGTTTTTAAAAAATATTACAACGAGTTTGTAGCTGACAACTTTTTAAAACAATTTTTGTAGGGAGGATTCCATCAGCACACAGTTAGTCTCCACCATGGCTGCATTGGATGAAACATGTTAATGTCCCTGAGAACAAATCTTTTTGCAGTAAAAGAAGTCCATCCCACTATTACTGGCAAACATTATGAATCATTCTCTTCTTTTATCAAAACAATCTGACAAGTTCCATTATCATTAATAGAAGAATAGTGGGGTGGGTGAAGATTATTTCTGGCAGCCACTCACAAATTGTCAACATTTTTGTTCATTTTTAGTTTCCAGGATAAAAAATATTCTAAAATAACAGCTTTAATGACACATTTTCAATTTCACAGCACAGCCTTACAATGTGTTTACAAAACGACACTCATTGAAACGATCACACAAAAAATACAGAAGGAAATGTGCAAAGCAGTGCATTTTAACACAAAGCAGACTCTTCTTGGGAAGTAAGTAAATCCCTGTGTGAACCGTAATCTGATATAGTATGAGCAATGAAGAAAGAGTCTTCTCCACTTCATCACAGCAACACCGCAGATGGAAATCCTAAACCACAGGACTGTCAAAACTATGTGAGAGCTGCTTACTGACAACCAAACACTTTGTACAAAATAAAGTAGACTATAGACCTCATCTAACATTGAAGAATGCTTCATTCAGCAACTGCATATGTAAAGCTTAAATTTGACTGGCGACATTCAGTCAGAAAAAATGTTTTTGAACTAACACTAGGCAGAAAGAAAGGTAGAGGAACAGGGGTTGTAACTTAAAAAACAAAAAAATGGTAGAAAGTAAAACTGGATTTTTTAAAATCCAAATTTAAGATTTTAAACAAAAATGTGACAACTCCCTGTTGACTCTTGTCAACCGTTGCTTGGCCATACGGAAAAACTTAACTGGAATGGATTATGTAACACAGTTACGTATAGTGCAAAAGGAAACTCGTATTCGGAGGAAGAAACATTTGCAAACTATGAACAACTAGAGTTTAAAATTATTGTACGACAACAAAAACTTAACTAAATTTCAACTAGCCAATCAGAGGAGCTAGTAATAATTAAGGAGACATCATTCATCAATGAAAGACAGACTTCTACCTGCCATGTCAATAGTGCAATCCAAGTGCAAAATTGCACAGTCAGTCACTAAGAAAATTATACTGTCAACACTTCTTAAACCTAGTTTGTCCATAAAAGGAAGGTTGAGAGTTGTTTCGCGCGCCGAGTGGGGCCCAGCCGGTAGTTCTTAGTGAGACCGATAGCACAGCAAATACTCAGTCAGTCACTAGTCTAGCATTTACCAAAGGACAAAACTTAAGCTAAGTTCATCATTCTTTGTGATTTAATTTCAAATTGGAAGAAACACACAATCAATTTCATAAAAAATTTAAATACTCCTCCTGTTAAAGAATTGGAATCAAGAAAATAGTTTTAAGTGATGTTATATAAATTTGAGATCCTTGAATTGCTCATTTCCAAATTACTCAATGCCTATGGCCAGTCTTCTAAAATTCGACTGTTGGAAAATCTTTAGTTATAGGCGTGACATGACATTAGACCATGGAAGGATAGCAATTGCTTGTCGCTGTGCTAATGTATTTGAAAACAGGGTAAAGAGGATTTTAAAAAACAAACAGTTTATTTATTTCCAGATTGTTCAGTATGATGGCTTCTCAGATTTCAATTTATGCTGAGAACAAGGTTATTGAGGAATAATTACCATTACTCAGTATTGTGAGGAAATATTGTAGTTAACAATTATTTGGCAGTCTGGTAAAAATTTGAACTGGTCCTTATGATATATGGCAGAGCCATGAAACTGGTATTTAGTTATAATTTAAGCTGTTTTGGTGGGCTTCTTTCCTTTGACAACAGTTGGCTTGTTCTTGATAGAACCTTTCTTCCTCTTGTTCGTCTGTAAAATAAAACATTTCAATCTTAAAACGTGAACGTAAACATACAACTAGCACAATGAGTTTCAATAAACATTTCAAATTATATGGAATGGCAGAAAATTTTTATTTACCTTCTTAGAAATAAATATTTTTGACCTTTTGATTTTCCGATCACTCAGAGGTATTCTTGGCCGATTAAATTCATCTGGTTTTTTCACTCTAAGAAACATAAATTCATTAGAGGGCGACGGGTAATATGAGTGAAGATCATGTAAAAGTAAAGTGCTCTCATACTAACCTGTATATTCTCACAAGCCAATGTTCTGTCGTGTAGGCCTCTTCCAAATAAGTAAGATCAAAGTTTTTATTACCAATTACTACGTTTCTTGTGCGATCAAATCCAGGAGTTGATCGATAATCCATCTATGTATTTTTTAAAAAGCAGTAACAGACAAAATTATTACACAGACAGAAGGTGAAACTAGCTAATTTCTTCAAACAAATAATTTTAACACTAACCCTTAATTCTCCAAATCTGTAGTAGCTAAGCTTATACATGAGACAATTCAATAATGTTGGAGTTCCTTCAGAATCAACACGAAATTCTCCTCTCTCAGTGAAGTAGTCACTTTCCTGTTAAAATGCACAAAAAACAGAAATATGAGACAAGAAATGCAAGTAGTGCTTAGCTTTAGTAACTCCATCATGTCAAAATTTACCCTGATATCTTTAGGATGTTCTCCTTCAGCAATTCGAACCATCCAAAGGAACTTGTTTATATCATCTCCAGAGTATCCAATGACACCCCCAAAAATAACCAGAACATAGTCCACATCCAAGGAAGTCATGATTTTGTACGCTTCACTTTCATTAGATGACATAGCTTTGCCTACCTATGAACATAAATAAGCAGAATTTCAAATAAACAAAATTTTAATGCTTTAATGAAAGGGACATTAAAAATTAGAACTCAATAGGTCATTATGTACTTACTAATGCAATATGGCTGTTATTCCACGTATTGTTGTCCACTAATGTTGTTCGATTTGCCATCCCTGCTATTTGGTAACCATAATCCCACCAGCTCATAACCCTAGCATCATTGTGGGTGTTTTGAGAAAGCCAATAGTATGCTTCACGGAAGTCATCTAAAATTTGTCTAGTTCTGGAAGCACAAAGAAAGCAAAAAATTAGCATTGACTCAGATAATAATAAACTTAGGATGCCTTCTATTAATTTACCCATCCTGTCCATATGAAGCAAGAACAATGCTGGGACTAGAGTAAGCATTGCCAGTAACCCAAGTACAATGCACAGCAAACATCATTAACATCATGAGCATGGCCATCACAATAAGACCTCTCACATTGCTACCCAAGCCATCCGATTCCTTTATCTGCTCATGACGCATTCTTCTCAGTTTCCCAGCCTGAACACACAACAGACAAATGGTAATACAACACAAAATGATGAGAAGGGGGACGGACCTATGTGATCCTTCCTGAGTCACCTTACCTTGTCATACAAGTTACGACTGCTCTTTTCATTGGAGCCATCATCAGTCTCAGAATCAGAGTCTGGGGTAGACATAGTTTCTTCCTCTTTAAGGTACAACCCTAAGAGATGTGAGAAGGCAATGCCACTGAGCACACACACCACAGGCGTAAGAGTGAGCATGAGCCGAACCATAACACCAGCAAAGTAGACAGCACTCACAGCATACAATACAACTATAAAGAGAATGAAAAATAGTTAGATCCTCCTCAGAAGTCAAGATTATATAGACTTAAAAGAACAAATTCAGAAGCATTTTACTTACTGAAAACTCTTTCATCATTGATATTCTTGATGCAATACCAGAGACCAACAGGGAATGTAGTAACAAGTATATGCAAATCAAAGAAGAATGAAAACCATGTGGTAGGTTGATGCTCTGATACAGATGCAATGATGGGAATGTGAATTTTGGCATAGCCTGTGTCCCACAAAGAGTAGAAACGACCACTCCATGGAGCAATAACACCAGCATATGTCAATAGCACAACAGCAAGGAAGACAACACCACCAGCCCCCAAAACAGCAATCATGTAAAAGTATCTCATTTCAGCCTTTGTTAAAATAGTTTGAACATATTTCAGGAAAGAAATAGCCATCATCAAGGCAAAAACACCTATAAAAACAAAGAAAAGTAATAGTAAATTAATTGAACATCACCAATACTTGAAGATTAAAATCATTATGATGAATTTTTACTCACCACTAGCAGCCATATGCTCAGAAGTTCGAATGGGCTGGAAACCAACAAATGGGATTTGCATACTCATAATGAGACCGAGTATGTAGAAAGTTGTGTAACTTGTGAACAGACGGGATGAATATCGTCCCATGAGCAAGAGCGCAAACACATGCAGAGGAATCAAGTTGATGATGAAGACATAGCCACCCCAAGCAGAAACCTAGAACAATAATGAGAATACGTGGTAGGAAACAGGGTTATTAACTTCAAACACAAAATGGCAGTCCAAATCTTGTTGAACTGGAACTTACCATGTAAAAGTAAGACAATGCCGTAAGGGAGGCCCAAAAGATGGATCCAGTTTTAACAGATCGCACCCACAAGAAGTATGTGATCTGGAGGGCAAATATAGCAATACCCTCATTGTCATAACTTCCAGCCACAGACCGACTTATGTAACCAGGAACAATAGCAATGAAGCAAGCAGCAAAGAGACCTGCTCCAGGCGACCAGATTTCTTTGGTCAGGAAGTAAGTAGATATTGATGTGAGGCCACTGTAACATAGAGGATAAGCAAGTTGAGATGGTGTTCAAGCCATTCAAAAATACAATACACCTGTGTTCAATGAAAAAATTACCTGAAAACAGGGGCAAGGAATACACATATATCTCTGATGTTGACAGGAATGTTCAAACTGTGCAAGATGTAGTGAATACTTCCAGATGTTATCATAAGCCCAGGGTACACTGTTCCACCAACAATACGACCCAGTGGATACCACGCACGTTCATCGAACCAATTGAGGAAGTTGTAGAAACCATGTTGGACCATGTATGCTGTCGACCGGTAATTGAACCTGAAAATAACAAATCTATGTAAGTCTACAAATAATAGTCATTTTTAAATGAAGGAATAAATAACTGTGTGGGTGATTGAGATTTTCCAAGCAGAAAACTGCATTATGACATATTGAATAAATAATATTGGCAGCATGAAATTCTATAAGATGGAAATAGAGGAATAGAATGACCTAGCGGCATGAAGGAGCAAGCAGATGTTCATCACTTATGTCCAAAACTAACATAACCTCCTTACAAACTAGTAAAACACAAAATTTCAAACATATACGAAGACGAATAACAGCAAAAGCAAATTAAAAAGTTAAAACCATACAGAAGTCAATATAACGGCGGTAAATCGAACAATAAAACAGCAAAAGAACAAGTTTGACACGAATCATCCGGCGTGAACATGAGCCACACAAATCGATATTTACAGCGCAGAATAACATTGCGGACATGACAACTTTTGAAGATGTACAAATAAAGGCAAATGCAAGCTCCGGAGAAAGGGCCAAGAAAGGAAATTAAGCTAAATGGCTAAAATCGTCGTGTACAACTCACCATGGGTCGAACTCGTGAATGATGCTTTCGAATCTTATGACGGCAAAAAGCCGAGAGGCAAAGCCAGAAATCCATGCTAACGCTAAAACTGTAAATGTTATTAAACTTTTCCAGCCTGAAGCGTTGGAAAACAGGCCCTGCTTCTCAGCATTGAGAGATCTTTTCGGCCTCGGATCACCGAAAGCTCCCATTCCCATGGTTGTCGTCTACACTACACTTCCATCAACAAATAACCGACACGTATAACAGGAAGGGTTACCACTGCCAGCGTAACACTGCCAAATCAGCAAAGTCTGCAGACACTTATCAACAGTGTCGGTGGCAAGTGAACCTATGAGAATAATGGACACTCAAATATGTTTCGTTGTCGTCACTACAATAGAAAGCATATTTTCACATAATTTCTTTGGAACCGGTCTATGAGTTTTTGACGCGAGGGGTGGGTGGAGTGTGGGGGAGGGGCGGGGAGAGGAAACCCGGCGTTGGTTATATTTTCATAGAAGTTTCGGAAATTGTGGATTGATTTTACAGTTACTACCACGTATCTGATGAAAGACACACTGAAGAACCGTGAAACTTCCCTTCTTGTCATAATGTCACAAACATTTTGGAATAATTCCGTTTCCCGAGGGGAGTGTCCAGTCCGGTCAGCTGTTTGACAGGTCGGCCAACGGATAAATACGATTTTATTTTTATTGTTTGTCCCTCTCTTTTGATTATCTCTTTGATTAATTGGGTTTGAAAATTTCTAAGTGATGGGTCCTCGTCTTGAGGAATTGTCAAACTTAGCAAACAAAGCGTGACGCGGAGTGGTCTGCCAGTGGCAGTCTGCACCCTGGCGTCTGCTACCGGGGCTAGTTTCGTGTCAAAACGCCACGTTGGAAGGAGGTTTGTACTCTACAAGAATCTGAAAATATTCCATGTAGTAGTAGTTCCGCCTTAAGTAAGTTACTCATTGACATTGATTGTGCTTCGAAATATAAGGTTGAGTCCAAAGCAGCCTTCCAATATTATGTCAAATCGTTACTTTAACTATTTGTTGTGTTCACTCTGCCAGTGCCGCTTGTTTTGAAAGATCAGAAAGTACTTCCGAACGGAAATCGGCCTTGACACGTATGTTTTCCTTGGCACATAAGTGACTCAGGTAGTTCAAATCGAACTTAAATCCCTATAAACTCGTGATGATACTTCAGTAATTTAAAGGTCTTAAACAGATTCATTTAGGTTTAATTTGAAGTCCATAACCTCTCAAATTCTTGATTATAGTTTTTGTTGACACTATGCATATCGTCTGTTATTCTCCTAGAAATATCTGCATTTTCCAAGTTTTTAAAGTTATCGTTGCTTTTCTACATTAGTGACAGACTTAAACCTAAGCCCTCAATCTTTCCCGTGTTATTCTAAATTTATTGTCGGCACTTATATGTTGTTTCAGTTCCAATTGCTCTCTGCTCCAGCTGATTCTTTATAATTTTTGAAATTCTTAGATGTCAGTCTGCTCTCTTTGTTTTATGTTGCCTTTCCTTTGATTGGTTTTACAGGTTCTGACAAAACATCAAAATGAAGGTTAAGGAACTCGACAAGACTGTAAATGTGGCTTGGTCACCACCAGCCCAACACCCCATCCTCCTGGCAGCAGGAACAGCAGCACAGCAACTTGATGCATCATTTAGCACGTCTTCAACTTTAGAGATCCATGCTCTCAATTTAGGGGATCCAGGAGTGGACATGCAGATATTAGCTTCCGCTCCAAGTGAACAGAGGTAATTTTATATCTATCTCTTGACCTTTGTAACTTTTGAGGTGTTGTGGACCTTCTTTGAGTTCACCTTTGTCACTTCTGCAGATTCCACAAAGTTGTGTGGGGGAACAATGGAGCCATTGTGGGGGGTTGTGATGGTGGCTTGGTGCAGATTTACAATTCTCAGAAACTTCTGTCAGGAGAAAAGGTTCCCATAGCTAGACAAGACAAGCACTCTGGTCCTGTACGAGCCTTAGATTTTAATCCGTTTCAAGTAAGTTGTTCTTTTTTATTTAGTCTTTATGTGTCAGATTGAAATTTTGTTCTGTATAATAATTAATTTTATGATATCTTTTAGTCTAACTTGTTGGCTACTGGTGCTGCTGAATCAGAAATTTATATCTGGGACCTCAATAATATCAGCACCCCAATGACACCAGGAGCTAAAGCCCAGCCCTCTGAAGATGTTGCTTGGATATCTTGGAACAGACAAGGTTCGTGTTTCTGCTCTCCTTATATTAAATAGACTAAAAAAAAACCTTGAGACATATTTTTATTTTTGGGCTGCATGGAAACTTTTGTTTTGCAGTACAACACATTTTGGCATCATCTTTCGCTCAACGCTGTGTTGTTTGGGATTTGCGGAAAAATGAACCAATTATTAAATTGAGCGACAGTCAATCAAGGGTAATTTAATGTTCAATGTCTTTTTGTTGTATTTTGCCCTTGGTTTTATTAAGTTACTTTATTTTTAAAATAATGACTATTGCTGCAGATTCGTTGGAAGGTTGTATCATGGCACCCTGAAGTTGCAACTCAACTGGCTTTGGCCTCTGAAGAAGATTCTGCACCTGTTATTCAGCTATGGGATTTGCGATTTGCTACCTCACCCATAAGGACACTAGAAAATCATCAGAGGTCAGGAATGAATTAGTGACTGAATACCTCAAATAACGATCCTGCATTTTCTTCTGATTTTTCAATTGTTTTGGCTCAATCTTGTTCTTTTAGGGGTGTTCTCTCCATTGCATGGTGCATGCAAGATCCAGATTTGTTATTGAGCTGTGGAAAAGACAACAGAATTCTGTGCTGGAATCCCAACTCAAATGTTCCTGTAAGATTTACAACATTTTGTGCTTGACCAATAATAGTTTGACATGGGCCACTGCTGGTACTCTATTTGAAATAATTTCTAAGAGATCTTTTGTGGCTTAATTTCTGATTAAATTCCTAATCTAGGGCGGTGAAGTCATCTGTGAAGTTGCCTCAACAACTCAGTGGAATTTTGATGTTGCCTGGTGTCCCAGAAATCCTGCTTTGATATCAAGCTGCAGCTTTGATGGCCATGTTAACATATATTCTCTTACTGGTGGTGCACAGCCACAGGTTCAAACAAGTAACAAGGTTTGTTTTATTTCTTGAAGTAATCTCTGTTTTTATTACTATACTCAGTATATATAGTCACTGGAAATTCAAGTATCTTTTACCTTGCAAAACAAAAATTATCTGAGGGAATAAATTTGTTCCAGATTGCTGATTCTTTCCCAGGAATGGAAAGTTATGCCCAAGCCACCCCACCCCAACCAGCGCCAGTCTCAGTTGACTTACGGAAACCGCCAAAGTGGTTGCGTAGGCCTTGTGGTGCATCATTTGGTGTAAGTTCTGTTATATGTGCATTTATTATTTCATACCCTTTACACAAAGAATAAACCCAAGTCTTTGAATTTGACTTTCTGTCTCTCCAGTTTGGTGGTAAGCTGGTTTCCTTTCAATTCGACAAAGCAGCTGTGGCTCAGCATGCTGCGACTCCACAGCAGCCCGGATTCATTGCCCCACCTGCTGTTGCACGAACAGTGTCCATTAGTCAGGTGGTGACTGAGAGCAACCTGATGGCACGGGCTCAGGCTTTAGATATGGCTCTGCAGCAGGGAGACTACCTGGACTTCTGCAGAACTAGGTCATCTAACAGCCACACTGCCCATGAGAGATTTCTGTGGGAATGTCTTCGAACAAATTTTGAGCCAAATCCGTCATCTGAAATTCTCTCTTTGCTTGGCTTTGATTCAGAGGAAGTGAACAGGAAGGTAAGCATTTCCTTGTGGGTATAAATATAAGTTTTTTAGCATACTATATTTTGGTTTAGGTGTATTTATTGTTAATTAATTTCTTTCCAGTTGAGTGCTTTTTGCACACAAACAAATGATTTAGCCTCTGCTGATGTAAATGGCATTGATAGTATTACCAACCAAATGAATGACTTGTCCTCTGTAAGTTTTTTAAAACTCTCTTTCCACTTGAATTTATATCTTATGCAGGCTCCATTAGATTATTTTTTTTCGTGTCTGTTCTAAAGGTTTCTGGTGATGATGCGTTTAGTGCTATTGCTGCATCAACACAATATAATAAGAAGCCAGAACCAATTGCATCATTTAAAATAGTCACAGGGGATGGTATGTTATTTTGCTCCTTTGAATGTCTTATCTATTTTCTCCAGGCTCTGTTGAATGTTTTCTGTTGAACTTTCCTCACAGACCCCAGTGGATTGATCTGTCAAGCATTGCTGCTTGGCCACACCGAGGTTGCTGTTGAGTTGTGCCTTCAAGAAGGCCGGCATGCAGATGCCATCGTCCTCGCAATGACTGGAGGACCAGATTTACTGGCCAAGACCCAAAGCAAATACTTCCAGGTAAGTTATGCATTTGTTATTAATTAAAGTAAAGATCAAAGCAAAATTTAAAAAAAAAAAAAAAAAAAATTGGTGGAGATTTACAATACTATTATTTTCAGAAAAGTAAAGGTTACCTGTCCACACTGATGGCTGCCGTTGTGACTGAGAACTGGAGCCAAGTGATAGCGTCCTGTGACTTGGAGAGCTGGAAGGAAGCACTTACTGCAATTCTCACTCACACACGAGGAGATGAATTTTCTAGTTTATGTGGTATGGATTTTGACTGTTATTTCTATCATCATTAGTTTTCTGTAGCATTACGATCATTTTTTATGTTGAATGGAATATTGGTTTACAGAGCAGCTAGGACATCGTCTGGAAGTGGAATCTGGGGGTCTTCACAAGCAGAAAGCCCAACTCTGCTATGCTATTGCTGGCAACTTGCACAAGTTAGTGGACAATTGGATGACTGCTGTTCAACCTTCAACACCAGAGCAGATGCAGGTAATGATCTGGTCTTTTTTCCCCTTTGCAAACCTTTGCGGCATTATATGGTTTACAAACTGTTTAATTTCCAACAGGATCTGGTGGAAATGGTTGCTGTTCTACGTACTTCAATTGAAATTAAAGGACGAAATATTGATATATCTGGTTCCTTGGCTAACACCCTATCTCAATATGCAGAATTCCTAGCTTCTCAAGGGAGTTTGGCCTCAGCTCTCACATATCTCTCTAATTCTCAAGATGTAAGTTTAAAACAAACCCATATCATAAGTTTCATACATTTTCTTCTTAAAATTTACATAGCACACCATCTTGGGTTAACACCATTTTTTTCTGTACTCAAGGAAAAAATGAATGAACTGCGAGACCGTCTCTCAGTAGCTTTAGGTTACAAGCAGTTGCACTCACAGCAAGTTGACCCTAGACGAGCAAGCCTCCAGAACCAGCGAGGGGTCCAACCAGTGGGCAACCGACAAGCCCCTTATTTCTACAACCAGACCGTGAGTGCCTGATCTGGTGGTTCCGGCGGGCCTGCCGCTCTGCCGCATGAATGGTTGCTGACTCTGTAGTTCTCTGCTTGTTGCAGCAACCCCAGCACAGCTTCCCTCCAGCGTCGTACAACCCTCCTCCGTCCATGCCAGCGCCTGTTCCCGCCCCTGTCCCCATGCAGCCCCTTCCTCCGATGCAGCCTCTGTCGGGTGTGCCGCCACTGCAGGTGCAGCCCTTGCAGCCCTTGCAACCCGCTCCGCTGGCCGGCCCTCCGCCAGGACCCAGCGCCAGCCCTGGACTCGGCATACCCAGAGCACCCTCGGTTACAGGTAAGCACACTGGGCACTCGGGGTCATGGCTGTAGCGGGACCATCTTGTAAGGAAAATAATGGAATGTGATTTGCCAGATGGCATGAACCAATGGCCGCAGTATGGGTTCAGTGCTCCTTGGGGCAGGGCCCCAAAACTAGCGAGTGAGTCTGTGATAACTTGAAGTTGAGCTTCATGCACCAGAATTTATTTCTCACCTCACTAGTGGATACCAGGAAATGCATTGAACAAAAGCACATGTAATTTTGCTTTCTTTGTTACTCACAATTGTAACTTCTTTTAGTGAACTAATACTGTTGATAGTTTCTGTTTTTGTGACGATATGTATTTTAGTTGAGTTGAACTGGTCCACTTTGCTCTAACGAAGTCAACTTACTTACAGGCGGCTCTTCAGGGCGGAAGTACGTCTTGGACCCATCGGTTCAGAGTGGTCCCGTGGGATTCCCCCCATCCAACGCCATGTTCGGCCAGCCGCAGTCGCAGCCTTTCTCTCCGCAGCCAGCGGCTCCGTTATACCCTGTTCAGCCTCAGAACCAAGCCTACCTTGGTCAGCCGCAGAGCCAGCTCGGCCCGCCCGGCCAGAGTCAGGCATATCCATCGTACGGTTCCCCAGCCTTTGGAGAGGTACCCGCGCCTGGTCCTGGGCCTCTTCCGCCACCGCCCACCAGTCAACCCCCTCCGGGTTGGAATGACCCTCCAGCTTTGAAAAACAACGCCCGCCAACGGCCCAAGGTATCGTGCTAACGTTGAATGCTGGCAAAAGGAGGAAGAGGGAGGAAAGCACACGGCGTTACGTTCTCGATTTCTGTCTCCAGGCCATTAAGACTGAAGCTCCACCTGTAGCACCAATAACCCATCCATTATTTGGAGCAGTTCCCCAGGAAACAGCTCCACCCCTTAATGTAAGCTTGGGCTGTGGAAACCTCACAACTTGGACTCAACTCGATATAAATTATGCTTTCTTCTCTCTCTTTTTTTAAGAATATGAATGGAGGATATGCTGACCCTATGGGAGGTAATGCTGGAGCCTACGGTATACAGCAGCAAAATGTTTATCAGCCACCGAACGTGTACCAACCTCAGATGATGCAACAGCAAATGATGAATCCTCATGAGCCGCCAGAGCCTGTCTCACAGTACGCCCGGGCAAAACCTGAACCACCACCACCTAAAGCTCCGATCCCAGATGAACATGTGGTTTTGCAAACAGCTTTTGATGATTTGCGGAATAGGTGCTACCAAGCAGCAGCCAATCCGGTATGAATCAGTTTATGAATTTGATCATCACATGTGATAATCACAATCTAAATATTAATCCTATCACTATCATTGTAGCAATCCAAGAGGAAGCTTGATGATGTAGCCAAAAAACTTGAAGTGCTGTATGACGCTTTGAGAGATATGAGGGTAGGTCTTTCCTTTTTTAATAAGATACAAAATTCTTAATTTTAATCTAGAAATAAAAAGTAAACTATTTATTTTTAATCTTGCAGTTATCCAACAACACTCTTCAAAGCCTGCATCAATTAATGCAAATGGTTCGGATGGGAGATTATGCAGGCGGTCTCAACTTGCACACACAGCTGGTATCAGGTCCCGACTTCTCTCAAATTTCAAGCTTCATGCCAGGCCTGAAAGTCCTTCTGCAGTCAGCATTGCAGCTGGGAGTTTATCTTCAGTAAAGGAAGCCTGCTACAATGCTAAGCACAAGGGCATTTAATTTACTATTTAGAATAAGTGTGTATAAAATGTTTCATTTATCTTTTATTATAAATATTTGATAAAGTATATTTTTAATGCCTCTGTTTATTATGAAGGCTGATGAACTGAAGTCCTGTTGTAATTTGATGTTTGTTGTACAAATGAGTGTCCTAGTGGAAAGTCTATATTGTGAATGTTAGTGGCAAATAAATTGGAGAACATTTATCAGGCTTTGATAAAGGTTGATCGATTGTGACAAACCTGCAAGCTGTATTTACAGGGTATCCACCTACATACCTTATCTCTTCGAACTTCGACTGAATTTCATAAGAATGATGGCCATTACCTAATTCAGTACCATCTTTTCTATGTTTCTATGGTTGTTTCTACTTCAAAGTCCTCTTATTTCCCCAACAAAGAGCTCAGATTATTTTAGCCCACATTCAGTATTTGATATTATTGGTTGCCTGTTCCATGGTTTATTGTTATTTTTACCAATTTGTGAGGGTAAATGTTGACAACTTCGATTATAGCTCACTTGGAATTACGTTTTGTGATCTACTCTGTGTTCATGAGCTGCCTATAGCTTATTCCTTAGTACATGACAGGAATACCTCTGAGATTCTGATATGGGTGGCAGAAGGTAGGGTTCTCTCTACATTCTTGCTCAGTATTAACTATTTGGAGAAAGTTCTGCAACTTTCCTATAATTTAACCTGGGGTGAGGTTAATCAATGCACCACTGACAGGCCTGACGTCCTACAATCATTTAAAAAAATAGGCAAGGAATGGCGTTAACCTGAATTGTGTGGATATTGTGATAGGCAGTTGAAAGTGACTTGCTTTAGCTAATATGTTCTCCTTAATGCTAATGCAACAATAAAACATTATTTACTTAGCATGACTTGAAGTTTAATCCACTTTACATTTTAACAGCTATAATCACCCTCTTATTTGAGGTTCCCAAATTTGGCTGGACTTGAACAAAAAGGAAAAGAGGGAACACAAAAAAATAAAGGAATATGGAAAGTTTTTGGCACAACAAGAAAAACAAAACAAAACTTGAACAAAAATGTACATTTCAACTGGAAATATATACAGATATAATCAATCAACAGTCTTTCAAAACTATTGGTTTTCTTAAGTACAAAATTTTACAATAAGCTTAACAATTGGAAATATATTAATTTATTCTGCTTCTACGGAGTCCATAGAAACTACTATCTTCTACCCCTCTTCATGCGATGAAGTGCTTTCCGCCGTTTTTCCCTTTGTTCCATTGCCATGTCTTCTAAATCTTCAATCAACCCTGCAATACACAAAGACAAAATTGGTTAGAAACAAAAAGGAATTTTCTAAGCAGTTAAAACTTTTAAAGAAAAGCAAAGTTTATATTTACCTAATCGTGCACTGCGACTCTCTTCACGCATTTGTTCTGCAAAGCTAGACACTTCAATATCCTCATCATCATCAAGGTATCTGAAAGAAATGGAAAGGGCATGATGTGAAAAATCATATCAGGTTGATTATGATACAAAATTTTGTTCATTACAGTACTAACTTTGACTTGTCATATCCAAAGATGTCTTTGATATATCTTGAAATATCTTCTGCATTGTCCGTTGGTCCATCATCAATGAAATCATCAAGATCATCATCATATTCATCCTCGTCTTCATCACTTGAGTCTTCAGAGTCACTCCTCTCATATTCAAACCGTTCTGAAAAAGTTGAAAAGAAAATTTATCATACAGTAAAATACAGAAACTCAAGTACCACACTATTTAAAAAAAAAGGAATAATATGATATTTCTTACTTTTATTGGCTGCAGCAGATCCTCTCCTAACATCAGAAGGAGGAAACTGTCTAGATTTCAGGTCACTAGGAGGGAACTGTTTAGGTTTCAAGTCCCTAGGTGGGAACTCCTTGGGTTTCATGTCCCTGGGTGGGAATTCTTTCCTCTGTAAATCTCTTGGTGGGAAATCTTTCCTTTGAAGGTCCTTGGGAGGGAACTGTTTTCTGGGTTCAGGGGGCAAAGGCTTCTTGAAGTTATCTTTTGAGGATTGTGGTTTTGAGTTGTAATCTAATTTGGGTCTCTTATCTGATGAACTTCCTCTATCCTCAGCATCCCTTTTCCTGTCACTGGAACTTGATGGCCTTGATTTATCAAGAGAGGTTTTGGTTGAAGTAGTTGCTTTAGATGAAGATGATAATTTGGGTTTCTCTTCTGGTTTGCTGGAGCTTGACTTCACAGAATTAGATTTCTCTGCATTTTTATCATTCAGCTGCTTACGGACTATAGTAACCGGGTTATCAAACAGATCCCTAGTGGTATCTTCCACAACTTTGATACGTTCTGTTTTCACTTGAGGTAAAGTTTTTTTAAGATTATCACTAGTTTTGTTAGTTTTGAGAGGACGTTCAGGCGAAACGCTATCCCTTTCCCCAAACAAATCAAGTTTGTCATATTTTGAGACCTTTTTAGGTTCTGATTGCTTCAATTTGTCAGAAGAACTGGACGACTTCCTTGCAGCACTTTCCTTTACATCTTTTTCTCGTCTTTCTCTTTCCCTTCGTTCTCTTTCTTTTTCAAACTCACGTTCTTTCATCTTTTCTCTAGCTCTTTCTCTATCTCTGTCTGCTTCTCTTTGCTTATCTAATAGCTTCTCTTTCTCCCTCTCCCTTTCCTTCTGCCTCTCTCTATCCATTTTTTCTTTAAGTCTTAATCTTTCTTTCTCTTTCTCTCGTTCCTTTTCTTTATCTCTGGCCTTTTCTCGTTCTTTTTCTTTTAATTTTTCTTTTTCTTTCTCACGTTCCCTCACCTTTGCCTTCTCCAAATCGCGCAGTTTCTCTTTGTCTTTCATTCTATCTTTCTCTGTGAGTTTTCTGTCAGACATTTTTCTGTCTTCCTCATTTACTCGCTGAATTTTTGGAATTTTAGGCAATGATGTTGGAGGTAATTTAGATTCACTTCTAGAAATGCTGATTCTTTGAGTATTATCCTTGGTTTTAGATGAACTTGAGTTAAAGTGGTCAGCACTAGTACTACTTACGTTCAGTTTGTTTCTGATAGAATGTCCATTACTTAAACGATCTTTTGAGGCGAGAGGTGACCTAGAACGAGAACGTGATTGAGAAGAGTGGTGAGATTCTGGAGTGTACTTTGAGCTTGATGATTTACTGTTGCTGTGACTATTTCTTTCGGTAGGCTGTTGATTTCTGTGCCTATCCCTGTTCTTGTCAATCAACCTCTCTTCTTCCTTTGATCGCAGCTTTTCTGCGTCTTTGCTTACATGGCTACTGTGGACACGAGTTCCATTTATATTTCTGGGACTGTCATCTGCTCTTGATTTGGATGAAGATGCTTTCAAATATTCTGAAACTTTCTTTTCTCTTTCCTTTTGTCTTTCATGTTCTAATTTCTCCTTTTTGGTCATCAAACGTTCTGGCTCTTCTTTAACTTTTACAATCTTTTTTTCAACAACAACAGGTTCAAATTGCTTTTTCTCTGCTATTTTCAAAAGAGATGAGAAATCAAGAGGTGGTGGCATTGGAGGGCGTTTTGGTTTGGGCTTTTCAATTTTTTCAGGTTCTTCACTTCTATCTCTACTGTTGCTTCGACTTCTGTGATCATTAACATTATCTTCATCATCTTTATTTCGTCGTCTTCTTTTATGAGGAATATGTTCATCTTCTCCTTGGCGAAGCAATGCTTGGCGCACACGATCCTGAAAAGAAGTTAGAAATGAGAAATGATAGAAATAAATTTTAAGAGAATGCTCAGAAGAAAGCATACTTTAGTGTTAACTAAATCCTTGGCTGTAGCCCGGTTGTTTGGTTTGTAAGATTTTTTCTCTTCAACAGGAACTGCATTATATTTTTCCATCATTTTATTGTAAAATTTTGATGCTTCTTGAGACTCATATCCATAATCATCTTCATCACACTGCTTTGGGCCTGAAAGAGAAGAGATATTCAAAAATTTAACCAAGTGAGAAATAATATATCAGAAAAAAAACATTGTTTATTGCATTGGCTGGAAATAGTTAAGAAACACTATCAAATTGGGTCCACCGTCAACATGTTACGAAAAGAGACATACCATTAATGGTATCTGCTGTGTTAACTGTATCAATTGCATCATTCAATACTGATTTATTGGCTGATTTGGTGCGCTTGAGCATGACTTGAACTCTCTTCCTTGCCTTGCCATCTTGGTTTCTGAGAGCCAGAAGTTCCTGCACAAATACACCTTGAGTCAGTTGGCAATTTACACAACAAACTATGTAGGAAGTAACTTGAAATTGTACCTCTCTTTTTCTATCATCCTCTTGTTTCTTTCTACGCTCTTCTTCATCTTTTTTGGCTAAAAATTTCTGTATGTTGGCAGACAGACCTTTAGAACGTTCTTCCTTTTTGGGAGGAGAAAATGTTGTGCGGTAACAGTTCACCGGCTGAATCAAAACAGAAAAATCAGTTATTTAATACTAGGTACCAAATTTGATGACCACCACTGGGTTGAAGTAACAACGTCCTGCCTAATTACAGAAAAGAATAATAATAAGAGTGTTACATTATGTACATAATTCATCTGAAACTCGGGGCAAGTTTAGACCTCAAGTTTTGACTGGCTGGGGAGCAGAATAAAGCAGAATGGGAGGAAAACACCCATACCTTAACCTAGGTTAGGAAGGCAGAAGTTGACAAAGCAGGCCACTGAGTGGAGAGAGGCCAATGAAAATCAGAAGTCCAATGCACATGAGGACATGACTTTAATTGTTATGGTTACTTCAAATAATGTTTCGAAATTCAACCTGCTTTGCTTAACAGCTGTCTAAAACCGATATACACCTCACCTCTTTAGTCTTTTTCTTTTCATTTTTTTTCGCTTTATGAAGTACTTTTTCAAAATCCATTGTTGCTGGATGTCACTCCGATTAAATACGATACTGCTGTTCATGAATATAGGCAATAATCATACGTGTCAACACATTCTGGAAAATTCACTGAGGAGGCAGGACCACCAGTCCAAAACAAGGACAGGCGGACAGACAGACAGACACCCAGCTGAGGGCTGTGAAGCAGAACACCAAACGAAACAACAAAAAGTCTGGTTGCTCAATCTACTCAAATTACAAGATGATCTTTAAATAGAGAATCTACGTAGTGCGTTGCAACTTAAAATAACACAAGGGAGACCCCGGAAGAACTTAGGAAAACAAAAGGTTTGACGTGTCTGACCGTCGAATGGACCGCTTGGTTCAAGTAGAACAAGCCCTCCTGAAGGTTTCTGACACAGAGAGCGACCTTATTCAATCATTTTACGGTTTGATGAATGGCAATAATATGGAGATGGAATTAATTCCTTCAACAGAGGATTGTTGTGACTAGTTATATGTTTCACTGGAAATAGTTTGAAACGCGGCTCAAGAAAGTGACACATATTGGAGAAGGGACGAGGCTGCTGCTGCTGCTGCTTGTCTTGTGTTGACAATTGTCTGCCTTTAATTACCACTCAAGGTACGTGCTAAAACTAATTATTTATATGTTTGTGTTCCTTTATTTTTCAGTTAGTTTGTCTCTTTGCCCTGTTGTGCTGCGTGACAACGGGGTTGCATTGTCAACATAACCTCTATTGTTAGTAGGGTAACTTGTGGATTCTTTATTGAATACGTAAATGTTTCAATTTTAGGGGTTTTTGTTGTAACTGGTCTTATTTTATGTGGATTCCAAATGAATTGTTTACTGCGCCTTCTTACTAGGCGACTATTCTGGACTTTTTTAAAATACTTTTTACAATTTTATTTAACTTTTTAATTTTCCTCGCTGGTCTTACTTATTTGGGGCGTAAGGTACAACCGTTATACTCTCTGCCTTTTTGTCGTACTCAAGTTATTTGATATCACAGACGTATAAATGAAATAATAGTCTATATCCTATGTTTCAAAATCTGTCATTTGTTACTGCATGGGTTTGTATTTTTTCTTAAATCTTACAGTTCCTAGGAAAAGACTTTTTCACTTATGCACAGTATATATTTGAATGTCAGGAGAAGGGCTACTCTCAAACCCAAACATTTTAAATTTAATTGCAAGCACTTCATGCAGTTTTTTGTTCATGGTAGCCTGGTAACATTGGTGGCAATTTTTTAATTTTGCAGAGTGCATCCTCATTCTCTACTTGGAGAAAAAAATGTCAGGATTGCATGATTTTTTTTTAAGGTGAGGCCAAGGGATCCAACCCCTGGTTGAACAGCAACCAATGGGGATGATGGCAGTATAAATAAACTGCAGAATTGCAGACCAAAGTGAAATACTAGCATTTAGTGCCCATGGAGGGTGTTCAGACCGGTCTGAGAGTCTGAGAGACCGGTCTCAGACGCGCCGTCTGGCCGTCTGCGCCCTGGCCCCTCGTGGGCATGCTATGTTGCCGGTCGCCAAGTGATGAACACAACCCCGGGTCATTGTATCCGAATCGCTGTAGGTAGGCCCGCAGGGACCTGCTAACCAGTCCGCCCGTCGCCCGCCGTCGCCAAAGCGAGTGAGATTGGAGGGGTGGCGAGGCGAGGCGAGGCTCTGTAGTACAGCCGGAGCTTCAGGATCGCTGGAGCCGCCGGAGAGGATAAGTTCCGATCAGTTCCATTTGTCCTGTCGTTGGAGCCGTGCTTCCATTCTCTTCTCCCGACTCGGCGCGCTGACTGAAGTGACTGCATCCCCCTTGCGCCCAGACCGTCGTTTGCTGTGGTGCGAGCGATGCGGATGCGAAGCGAGTTTGATTGGCGGGGTGCGCCTCGCGGTGTGCCGTGGCCTGTGTTCTGTGTTTCGGGTCGCCGCAACCGCAGCCCAGCCGCCCCGCCGTGGCCCGCTTCATGGGGATGCGATGCTCCGTCTCTCTCCCACCCTACGGCACGTCCCGTGAGTGCACGAGAGACGGAGCGACGAAACCATTGTTTGGAATGGGCCTGCAGAGGCCCAATTAGCGGGAAACACATCAAAGCGTCGACGAGGCCGTCGACTGATCCCGCTCTGTCTCTCTCGCACTCGTGGGGCGTCCCGTGTAGGTGCGAGAGAGACCGAGCGACGAAGGCGGCAGGCAAGCAGGCCGACCGGGGGCGTTCCTTGCGTGTCACGCTGCAATGGCACAATGGCGCAGGCATTTGGTGCAAGGCTCGGTTTCGGGACACATTTTGCGCCACGCGTGCGGGGTTCTATAACGCGATTGAATCTTCCCCCCAGGGCGGGCAGCAGCTCCAGCAGCTCAGTGTACCGAACAGCGCCCTCTTTTTCTGTCTCTCTCGCACGCACGGGGTGCCGCGCCGGAGAACCTGGGCAGCTGGTTCGGAATCTGCCCTCAGGCAGAGCAGAGCGGAGCACCCCGTCCCGTGTACACAGGTACTGTACACACCGCGGGCGAGACGCGCGCGACGCGGCCGGCGAAGTAGCTGCGAAGCAGGAAGCCTGGCAAAGGGCTGCCATGGGCTGCCATCCCCGCCGTGCCGGAGAGTGCTGGGCCCCGAGGCCCCGCGGGCATGGTGAGGTGCGCGGGGCTGCGGGGGCCGCGGGGGCGTCATGGTGGGGCGAGGCGCGTGGGTTCCGCGGGCCGAGCCGCGGGCGCTCGCTGCTGATAGGGTGATACCGTGTTCGATACGTGTTGACAAACAGCGTGCACCGCGGGACGGCATGACGGCAGTGCTGGCGCCGCTGGCGCCACCAGAAGGGGTAGAGTGCCGCTTTGTCGCGCTTTGCCGCCGTCGCACTGTGGATTCAGTGGATTCGGCCAAATCTCTAGACGCGTTTATCGAGCTGCTTTGTCGCTAGACAGGACTCGAACCGAGCGTGCGACCTCACCAATGGACTCCTCTCGTTCGGAGAGAAATCCTTTGGTGGGGTCACTCGTTCGGTTCGAGTCCCGTAGCGACTCTGGAGCTCAAAACGCGTCTAGAGTTTTGGCCGCCTCCACCGGTCTTCTGGCCCACTGTGCGACGGCTCGGCCAGTACAGTGCTCTACCAGTGTGGCGTAGTAGGGGATGGCGATGAATCGCGATGCATTGATCGACTGCGCAGAATAGCACTGCTCCCTGTCGCTTTTTGGGGCCCCCGCGGGCCGGGGGGCCGAACAATGCCCCCCCCCTCCCCCCACGCCACGCCACGCCCCCTCGCGCTGAGGGGTTGCCCGTGCATTTCAATTTGGTGGCACGGCGTTTTGTGGAGTGGATTGCGCTGGGCCCGGCTCCGCAAGAGAGCTGCACACCCATTGAGCGCTCTCTGCGCCGCGCCCCGCCGCGCCCCGCCGCGCCCCGCTGCGCCGCCGGGGCGGTGGGTCGGAGGCGAAGACTGGAGACGCGCGGTGGTTTTGTCGGGGCCTTGGGGGTACGTCGCGCTGTCTAACAACGGGGCTGCAACTCTGTGCCTTTCGCTTCGTTCCCTGGCCTTGTCATGCGGAGCACACTCGGAAAACAGCAGCCTGGCCGAGCGGCGGCGCCTGGCCCATCACCTTGGTCGCGAAGGTCGTGCCGAGGCCGTGGTGAGGCCGTGGCGAGGGGCGGGTCCAGGGCCAGCCTCCTCGTCCACCTCGAGTGGGCGCCGCCCGTGTGTGTGCTATTTGCTCGCCCCTCGGCGCGCGCGCGCGCGCGCGCTGTGTGTGTGTGTGTGTGTGTGTGTGTGTGTGTGTGTGTGTGTGTGTGTGTGTGTGTGTGTGTGTGTGAGAGAGAGGGACACAGACACGGGGTGGAGGGCGCGTATGTCTCTTTGAGGCTGCTCGCACGGCACGAACACGATACATGACGAATCTGAGTCGAAGCCCGAGCGGTTCTTTGACAGTGAGGTTGCGTGGGGCCGTGGGCCGTGGGGCGTGCGCCCTTTGAGGGACGTTCGACGGTCCGTCGGCCTTGGACCGCCCCGACGTCCCATCCCCCTCCGCTCCCACCCCCCGTCAATACTCCCGGGCCGCACTGCCGCTGCTGCCGCTTGCCGCTCTGGCGCCATCTGGGGCACACACCCTTCTTGAGTTCATTTGCCTGGAGATAGGCGCATGTACTGAATATCACTGAGTAAACGTACTACTTGACGCACTCGGTACAGTTCCCTCTTCTTGATTCAAGAGGAGATGGTTATCGGCGCGGTGGCTAATCAGAGAGAAAGGATCCCCAGACCGTCCGCGGCTCCGCGGCCCTGACCCGCCCTGACCCGGCGACCCCCGCCCCGATACGGCGGTAGCGCGCCACCGGCAGCGCGGCTACGCGGCAGCGGCCCTGATAAGCTTGCGCCGCCGGCCAGAAAGCACGTTTCCCCGGACCGGGGTGCGGGGACGCGCGGAGCCCCTCCAAGAGATGCAAACCTGGGAACGCGCGCCCTTCGCCGCTCACCACCCCTTGTTGGTCCAGCGTGCTTCACGCGAACCTCGCTGTCCAAACCCCGCAGTAGACCTTCCGCCAGGTTCCCTTCGGTTCCCTTCGCCCTCGCGGCCACCCTCTGGCCACCCTGCGCCACCGCGCGACCAGCCCCACCGCAGTTCGCATTGGTTCGCGGCGGCGAGAGGAGGGAATGTCGCGCCGCTCTCGGCCACCCCCAGCCACCCTCCGCCACCCTCCACCTCCCTCCGCGTCGCATACAGTGCCGTGCCTCTGGAGGAGCGCGGCGCAGCTTCCGTCTCGTCCGCGACGTCCGCTGCGTGCTGCGCGTGCAGCGAGCGAGTACGGTGCAGTGAGTGCAGTTGGCGTCGCGCCGCGGCGTCAACAGCTTAGGGTTTTCCAGTCTCGCCCCGCCCCTCCCCCTCGCACTGCTTGGCAAGCTCGCGGACGGCTGGTATCGCGGCGGGCGGGGCGCGGCGGGGGCTGCGGGGGCTGCCTGAACCGGACGGCGGCGGGCCGCGGCGCGCGGCGCGGCGGGCACAGCGCTTGAGCGAGCGGGGCGAGAGGAGCGGAGCCAGCCAGCTAGCCAGCCAGTCGGGCTGAGGCGCTCGGCTTGGGCGTTGCGAGGCAGAGCGTGGCGGCGAGTGGCGCAGCGTAGCGCAGACTTACGCCTCTCTGGCCAGCCAGTCCGGCCAGCCAGGCCGCAGCGTGTGTTGGTGTGTGCGTGTGTGACGTCAAGTACTTTCGCTCGCGAGTGGCGTGTGCGTTCGTGTTGGTGGGGCAGTGCAGTGGCAGTGCATCACCGCCTTGGATAGTCCGAGCAGCGCGTCGCTTGGGTGCCGGTTGGAGGTATGTCCCTATCATCTGTCTATCTCGCGGTCGGCTAGGTGTGTCCGACTGCCCGTCGATCGGAGAAGCGAATGAGAGCCCTCGGGGAAGTGCCTGGCCCGACAGTGGAGGCTTTCTTCTGGGCCCGGCCTGGCCTGGCCGTAGCGGCCGCGGTGTTGCGAGCGCTCGACTTGTGTTGGCTCGGTCGCGAGGAAGACGCTGGTGCGCTGTAATGCGCTGCGAGGCGCTGCTGTGCGCTGCGGGACGCGCAGGTGGCCATGACGGCGAGGCTGCCGTCGAACCGTAAGGCCATACGCCTCCCGGCCCACAGGCCGAGCCACAGGCCCAGTGCGCTGGTTCCAAAATGTTCAGCGGCTCATTTTTGTGCTCAAGTTGTTGCGTGTTTGGCGCACGTCGCACGCCGGGGCGAGGCCGGCGGCGGGGCCGGCGGGGTGGGGCGCCGCGTCCTGTGTCAGTTTCGTTGCGAAAGAGTGTGTCCCGGTCCGGTGCGTCCCGTCGACCCACCGCGCCCGCGGCCCGCGGCCCGCGCCGCCAGGGTCAATTTGGACTCGTTTTCTTTCCTCTGACGTCCTCGCCGCGGTGACGCAACGCGACGCAACGGCGACGCATAACGCGTCGCAACGCGACGCAACGCTACGTGCGCCGCCGTCCGTGCACCTGGCCGAGGCCTCCCACAACAAGTTGGAGACGCATCGCGCTTGGCGTATCGCCGGCTGAAAGTGCATTGGCTGGGTGCGCGGCGACGGGGCTCGCCGACGGACAGCACGGCCCCGCCGCGGGGGTCAGCTGTGCGCCAAAATAAACCAGCGGGCCGCGGGGGAAGCTTGCCGTGCACCCCGCCGTGCGCCGCGCCGTGCGCCCCGCCCCGCCGCGCACCTAGCCGCGTCCAGCCAGCACAATGTCGCTGTTTGTCCAGCTCGTTGTGTCGCGGCAACGCGCCGCGCTCTAGCCTCTTGCCGGCTGTCCTCGGTCCGCAGAGGCAAATGTTTGAGCTGGCCGGCGGCCTCGGCGCGTCGCCTTGTCGCCAAATCATTGGCTGGCTGAAAGAGCTCTTTTATTTACTTTCGGACGCGAAGACGCCGTTGGCACGCGCCGTGGCCATCACCGAGAGGAAGCTCTTCGGCGGCGCGGCGACGCGGCCTCGTGGCGCTGCATGCAGGGCGTGGCAGGGCGGCGGGGTGGCTGCGGCTGGATGTGCCCCGCCGTGCGACTGCATGGCGGTGCGGTGCGGCGCGGTGCGGGGTGGCTCCGTGGAATGAGGGCGGGGACGGGCTTTCCTGCAGATGCAGCGTGCTCTTGGCGGCCATCCCGGCCGCCGTGCCGCCGCCATCCTCGCCGCCATCCTCGCCCCCTCCTTCCTGGCACCGCGGGGATCCGCGTCCGCTCGGCCGCGCGTGCTGCAAGCTGTAATCGATGGTCGATATTTATTGCGAAGGGCTTGGAGAGGGTGGCGCGAGCTCGTCGGGACTGAGGCTGGCCTGCGCTCGCCGCCCCCAACGGCACCTTGATGCACACGGCCGCGGGTCCGTGGTCCCCGCAAACATGTCCCGTGGCCCCGTCGGCCGCTGCGCGCCGCCCTGCGCGCCGCCCTGCGCGCCCCTGCGGAACGATTCGGGACGTTTGTTTTTGGCCGGCGTGCCTCGCGCTCCCTCGGCCCGCGGCACGCGCCACGAGTGCGACAGAGACGGCGCGTCGAAACCCACGTGCGCCGGTGCCAGCCGGTGCGACGGTCACGTGTGACCCCCGGGTCGCAAATCCGATAAGGCGCGCTTGCATGTGTGGCGCTCGGCCGCTCGGCCGCTCGGCCCCGATTCTGGCGTGACGGCGGTGGGGCGGGGCGGGTCGGCGCGGCGCGGCGGGTCGGCCTGACCTTTGGGGTCGGGTCGGCGCGGCCGCCCGCGCTTGCCCGCGCCCTCCACGACTCGCCGCTAGTCTCGATTGTTTTGGTTTATCGTGTTGGCCTGACGCCAAAAATACCCGGCGCTGCTTAGTGGGTCATGCCATGCCTGTTGTGGCGCGGGGCGGGGCGCGGTGCGGCGACGGCCGGCCGCGAAGGCTGTGCGGCGGCGGCTCCAGATGGACGCGGTCCGCTCGCGTGTCTCCGCGGAGAAAGCGCTCCTCGCGCGGTGCAGCGCGGCCTGACGCGCCAGGACATGCCGGGACGGCGGACAGGGCGGCGGGGCCGTCGCGGCGCTGGCGGGGGGCGGACGGACGGACGGACCCACCGACGTGTTTGCGCGGTGGTCCTGCAATTCGAGGGTTTGGCAAACCTGCCAGAGGGGCCGCGGGGGAGCAGGCAAGGCGAGCAAGGAGCAGGGCGAGCAGGCCCGCGATACACGCCGGCAACGCGGCGTGCGGGTCGTTGACTCTGTTGACTCGGCCAGGGATGCTGGCTGGGCCCGCTGGGCCGTGGCCCCCGTGAGTGTCCGTGCCTGCGCCACGTCGTGGACGCCCACCGCGGATAGCTTGTCGAAGGGACGCACATGGCGACCGCGGCTCCCGCGTGGCGCAATGCGCGGTGGCGCGGCGGCGCGGCGGGGTGGGCTGGGGCCCCACCGGGGGGCGTCTGGGATGTCTGGCTGATTTGTGTCTCGTTTCAGGTGAGTTGCGCGCGGCGTCTCGCCAGCTTCGCCATCAGACTGATTCCGAGCGCTGGCTCTCTCGCGCCTCTACAGATCGCTCCATAGGTGAGAGAGAGCGACAGAAGCACTCTTCTGACCCAGCCTGCTGCGATGCGGTGACCCTGGACAGCGGACAGCAGCGGTAGAGGTCGGGTCCCGCCTTGTCCCACCGCTCCCCACGTTGTGCCGCCTGCTCCTGCGAGTGACAGTGCGAGTGGCTCCAGGCCGGTCCGGGCGCCGCCCAAGATATCCTACCCCCTGTCTGCCTGCCGGCCTGCCGGCTCCTTTGCCCCGGCCACGTTATATCACCTGGCAGGGGTCCGGGTCCGGGAGGCAGGGCTGCGCGGGGCTGCGCGGGGCTGCGCGGGGCTGCGTGCAATCCGCAGGCCGAACGGCCGAGCGCACGACAGTCTCGTGAACAAGCCGTGTGGCGTGTGCCAGAGCCTCTAGGGCTCGAGCCATACGGGGGGTGTTGCGGGGTCTGCTAAGTCGGCAGCGCAAGTCTGATTTTGCTTATTCCTCTCCCTCGGCGCCGGAGAGGCCGGTGGACTTGCTGCGCCCTCGCTCTCTCCAAACCGAGGCAAGCTTCCGACATGTCCAATATCCGATCCCAGGCGATATTGCGCACAGCACCGGGCAGCACCTCGCAGCACGGTAAACTTGGTTTTCGCGTGGGCGCTGTAATCACGCCCCCGTGTGTGCGCTCTTTAATTATCGCAAACAGCAAAGAGCCGGAGAGGAACCGCGCTTCAAAGGGGCCATGGCGCGATGCGTTGGGGCTCCAGTGGGGCGTGGGGCCGGGTCGCGAGGTGGGTCGGACCGCGCCAATCAGCGCCGGGCTCGCGGTCGCCTCGCCACACTGGTGAGGCTGCTGACGGCGCCTTTGCTTTTGAGAGGGCCGCCCCCTCGGTCGCCCGGGGCCGCCCCCAGTCCGTCCCCTGGAGTTGGCTTTCCTCGTCGACAAGTCGCCTCACGGCTTGAGCGTCGCGATGCGGTAGTAGTGGCGACTGGCGACGCGGAAGCGCGCTCACTGCATTGCCGGTGCACTGCACGCGGCGCGCGGCGCGCATCCAGAAGCAGCGAAGCAGCCGGCCTCGGCAAAGGCCTGGCCTCGGCGAAGGCCTGGGCGACTCGCTGCTTTTTGCCCACCTGCCCGGTCAAAAGTCGAAGTGGCTGCGGTGCTGCGGAGTGCCGGGGTCGGTTTCCTTCCCCTTCCGGCCGTCATGTCGTGTCTATCGCTCGGGGCGGGGCCAGGCGGGGCCGCGCGCGGCATGTCTCGCAGAGGTGACACTGTTCTTTTGCGTCTCCGCGGACAACAGAGGCAGGCAGGCAGGCAGGCAGCAGCGCGGCTGGCCGCGGTCCCCGTCGCGCTTCGCGCTATCAGTCTGGGCATGGCCGCATGGCCGCATGGCTGTCGGCGTCAAGGTTGGCCGAAGTCTCGCGGTCTCGCCTTGTTTGCGGCCGCCGAAGGCGAAGAACGCCCCGGCGCCCTCGAGGCCGCCGTCGTCGCGCACCAGGCCGCAGCCGCAGCCCCGAGAGGCTCCGACCGACCGCCACCGACGTGGGACCGAGCGCATCCCGCTTGTCGCCCGAGTGGCCCAAAATGATGTGGCGAGATTCACAGAAATCGCCGACGATTTGGAGATAAGGCGTGTTTGGGCTGGGTCGGTGGTCGCGGCCTCGCCGCCTCGCCGCCTCGCGGCCGCGTCTCGCCTGTCTCGCCGAGTGCAGAAAACGCGCACAGCTGCGCGCCACAGCCCGGCCGGTGGCTGCCAGGCTGGCTGGCTGGCGGTCGCCCAGATGCAGCCGGCCTGCCTGCCCTCCTCCGGGTGGGATGGGATGGGATGGGACCGGACGGCCAGTGTCCAGTCTCGCTGGTGCCGACGTTGACACGGCCAGCGGCCACGGCGCCGAATGGAACTTTTTATTGGATTCAGGGCCCCGCTGAGCCCGAGGCTGCGCGGCGCCGCGCGGGTCCGCGTCCCTGTTTCGCAGCGGCGCCGGCTGGCTGCCTGGGTGGCCTTGACAGATTTGGGCCGCGCCGCGAACGGCGCGAACGGCGCGAACTCTTGGAAGGTGTAAGTGAGGCGCTGGCAGCTGGCGGCACCGGGCCGGAGGCTGCCGAGGCCGGAAGCCCGCACTGGCAATGGGGAATCCAAGCCAGGGGAATCTCGGCGGTGAGTAATCGGGGTGGGGGGAGTCCGCTAGGAGGAGGCCGCGGCCGCGGAGCGCAGTGAGTGACGCAAACCGGATCCACTCCACTCCGCGAATGCAAGTCAAACAAGTAACTAACTTGGAATCGGTTTAGCGGTGCCTCAACGGCCTAAACGGCCTCGAGCAAGCCCGCACTGCCCGACGCGGCGCGGCGCCCGGTGTGTA